GAAATGGGCTTCACACATTGTCCCCATGTCGGGAATCGAACCCGGGTCTTCGGCGTGACGAGCGAACGCGTTAACCACTAGGCTACCCAACCGCCCCAGAAATCAAAAGAAGAGTATGTGCCATTTGCAGGATGAAGATAAGTCTTTGTGTTAAGAGTCATCACTAAAAGTGCATAGGTCATTGTCGGAGATGAATTCTTGAAGTATTTTGTCTATAGCATCAGTGCTTTTACCACCCCAGTGGGTTGTGTCCATCAACCGAGTCACTGAGCCTGACTACCTGATCCAGTTAGTTGCCTCTTACAACAAGCATGGGTTGCTGAAGATCACGTCTGACCAGGATCTTCACGGGTCTCCCCATTACACAGGGCTTAGGAAGTTGATCGCGGAGAGCTTGAACATCGTCTGCGTAAGAGCTGAAGTCAGAATATACACATGCACAAAAGTTAAGCGCCACCATATTCATAGTCTCTTGATTTCACGTGTGGGAATCAGAAATACGAAATATGATGATGTATGACTGAATTAGGCTTCCATAGTTTCATGAACCCAAATTTGTCCAGATACCACAAGGAAAGCGTCCTTTACGTGTTGCTGCAGTTCCCCTACCCTATAAATAGTGAAATTCAATTTTCTGACACGTGGTTGCATTTTGCTCCTGTGTGAGATTCCCCTTCCAATAGAGGTTGAAAATCAGCCATGGTGAGGAGAAAGTTAATGAACGCTGAAAGATGGCAAGTGATAGGCATGCAAAATGCTGGCATGTCATGCAGGGCCATTGCAAGACAAATGGGTCGTCATCACAGTGTTATCACTCGTTTGATTGCCAAACATGGTCAAACCAATGATGTCAATGACAGGCATAGGTCTGGTAGGCCAAGAAAGACCTCTAACAGAGAGGATAGGCGTCTTTTCATGATAGTCAGACTATGGTCTGACAAGTGTCAAATGCTGCTACGAACTGTTGATGGTCGAATACGTGTTTGGAGGCAACGTAACACTCGTTTTGCACCAAGGAACATCCAGAAGACCTTAGCATGTGGCGGGGGTCTGTCATGATATGGGGTTGTGTTTCCTTCGGCTGCAAACTTCCGCTGGTATCAATTCGTGGATACCTGAATGTCCAACAATACCAAGATGCCGTTCTTCGTCCAGTGGTAGTCCCTCATTTTGGCAACCATCCTCTTCAGACAAGACCTGTTTACATGGACGACAATTCTAGACCACACAGATCTCGTGCAGTTTTTAGCTTATTTGCGTCAAGAAGCTACTGCCACACTTCCTTGCCCGGCCTGTAGTCCAGATCTTAATCCGATTGAGCATCTCTGGTACATTCTTGGCCGGAAAATCAGACATCGTGACCCCCCAGTTCAATATCTCGCGGGACTTGAAGCCGCACTTCATGAAGAATGGATCCGTTTGCCTCAGAGAAGCATTCAACGACTTGTAATGAGTATGAGGCGTAGGGTTGAAGCTGTGGTCAATGTCCGTGCATGGTTCATACACACGTTACTGACGTTTGTCTTGCAATAGACTCTGCACTCCCTAGGGTGTCTATGTGACACCTGATATGGTCTGCTGATATCAAGACAGTTACATGACAAAAAAAGTTGTTCAATGTTTGCTAATCCTTCAATTTCTGGTCTTCGGTAAAATTCCTTTCTGCTCATATTCTTTTGGAACACAAGATAAACTTGCTTTGGGACAACTTTTGCATCACATGAGGTTTACATATACGGCTTATAACAATCGTACATCTCGTTATAATAGTCATCATTAAGTGCCAAAAGTAACAGCTCACAAATATGGTGGGTGGCGCTTAACTTTTGTGCATGTGCATATATAGTGAGTGAGATTAACGCCGCTTTCAACTGTAGGTATTCCAGTTGTATCATGGCGTTTCAGCTTAATGTGGGAGGAAATCCTGAAGCGAGGCAGGTCTTAGACGTTTACCACTTTGGTGTATGGAGTATGGCGCTGACAAACCTAGAAATATAATCGGGGCGAACCTACAATCGGAAGTTTTTTGTGTGCCCAAGGGACGCAACTCGAATTGCTGCGACTTTAACATGGCACTCGTGCATCGAGTATATAGATTGCACACAGTCAAGGCACCTTAAAGAATATGGCGCACTGCAACGGCTTGGGGTTCCAGTGGCCCTGTCACCCGGAGGAGAAAAATAATGGTATGCAGTGAACTTAAGCAAGTTAATATTATCTGACTGCTTTAAGCACGGCTATTGCAGACACAATGCGGATGGTTTAAATCCTGGACGAATAGCTGTAATTCATTGAAATTAGTCTTTAGTTCAATGTACAATATTTCTGAACGAAACTATCTTTTCGGTGGAGTGATTGGGGATCTACCCTGCACTTACTTAACTTTGAGACACGCGGTGTGTCCCATGATAGATGTTTTCGGACACATCCATGTCCCCAAGGGATCCAAACTTATCAAACAGTTGGATTTGATTATCTGACCCCTTTGAGGCTGTTCTTGGTTTGATTTTGGTTTTTACAAATTTGTTTCAGATTGAGGTTTAAGGCGTGGACTCAGATTATTGATCCGGAGATAAAGATGAATCGTGACTTGACAAGTTGACCCAGGTTGAGATAGCACCTGTGTCTTAGGCAGTGAGCAGACTGTTCAGGTGCGAAAATTTGAGGAGTATCGTTTTTACCCATAATAAGGCTGTTTTGAGTTTTTTTGACCAAGTGGTTACTTTCGGGGTGGTTTCAGAGGATGTTCTGACAAAGAATGCGTAGCTTTCATTTGTTATTGTGATTTCAACAAGTCTTTTGGCATTAACAAAACTAATGTTTCTTGTAAACATATTATTCTCCATTTGTTGTTTCCAAATGGGACAGTCTTGGGAAATGGGAAAGATGAATGACTCCCGGAGCACTTTGTGGCACTTTTTAAAATGACTGTCCGTAGTTTCACTACAGTTAACACATGTAACAGACTTCGTGCAAGTATTTATACCATGGTCGTAGTTTGGGCATCTAAAACATCTCAAAGGATTTTGAGTGTTGATTCAACATTGATACAACAGTAATAGGCCTTGATTGACGTTTGGGTCATTAAGAAAATGAAAAGCGGCAAGTGGTTAGAACAGTTCCTGGTTGTTGTGGGTTGTTAATCTTTTGATCTCTTTTCAGACAGATTCTCAAGGTCCATCACATCAGCCACCGCCTTCTGGCATAAGACTCAAGACAATTTAAGACATCAATAATTTGTGAATCCAAACATGTTATACATAGCCAAGACCAAACAAAATATGTATATAATTCACGTGTGCATACACAATATTATGCACTCAGCTTGGCATGACCAGACAAAAAATGGAACAAGGCTCATTCTACCACCCGTCTAGGCAAAGTTAGGGTCAAAGTGATGTGTTGTACTGAGGAACACAACAACCACATGACTCCCTTGCTCCTCGTCTGACGTCCAGAGCGCTGGGCACACACTCTACATTTTGAGAGACTGAAACATGACTGTACATTTTGAGCAGTGGCCATAAATACAGTCAAACACTTTTGTGTCTAGGTTTTGTGTGCTCACATCAAAGTTGGACACAACAGTGTGTGACTGTAGATGCTATTTCTACAGACATCCCAAATATCATTACATTTTTAACAAAAATGACAGATTAACAAAATAGCATGTCACCATTGGTTGGAACAAGCCTGTGAAGTTTCAGCTTCATTATTTAAGTAGTGTCTGAGGGAATGGCATTTAGAGAGAATTTAACAGCATGGACTAAAGTGGAAGTGGAAAAGGAATATGGCTGAGTAATGCCAAAGTAAGGTTAAAATTAAAATATTAAAGAAACAGAACATATTGTGTGTGTGTGTGTGTGTGTGTGTCCCACTACTAACTTCACATGTACCAAATTTCATAACATTTTGAAGAAAAGAGTCTGAACAATGGCCATAAAAAGCTTTCGGAATATGTGGCAGCCATGGCGGCCTCATTGAAGATAGTTTTGTAAACTCTGGAACAAATTCAGAGATCATCATTGGTATGAACAAGCATATAACACTGCAGCTTCATTTACCCAGCAGTTTCTGAAGAGATGTTAATAATGGATGACTGAAGATGTTTTGTATTTTCCAACATGGCAACAATATTTGATTTCCTAGAGGTTTTAGATTGCCGTAAAAGGCGACTAGGCAACTAACAGGATTGGGTGGTCAGGCCCACTGACTTGGTTGATGCATGTCATTGTATCCTAATTGAGTAGATCATTACTCGTGATGTCAATCACTGGATAGTCTGGCCCAGACTTGATTTTATTTACGGACTGCTGTCATACAGCTGGAATATTAGTGAGTGTGGTATTAAACAAACAAACAAGCAAGATTTATGTACCCCTGAAGATCTGGGTTAGAATAGATCTGCAGCAAGCCATGCTTGCCTAAAATGTGACAGTGCTTGTCGTAAGAGGTGACTACCAGTATTGCTGAGTGCAGCGTTAAACAAAAGACAAACAAAACAAACCTAGTTTCAAGTCTGGCCCTCTTGAGAAGATTTTTTAACCCTCTTATAGTGACAAATATCTACACAAAATTCCAGCTGAATCCATCAAGCCATTTTGGAGAAGTAAAAAATGTAAAATGTTTAAGGATGTTAAAGCCATGTGAATAATAAAAGTCTTATGGGGAGAATAACCTTTAATAAGTGTAGCATAAACAAACAAGAAATGAGAAACAATCTACAATCTGGGTCTCATGATACAATCCTTCAGGTCACCATTGAAAGGTTGGAAGAAACACTAATACACAGCCATACTCTTAACAGTCTCAGGTAAGATCTGGATTTTTATCATGAGTGTCTTAGGACCTGGGTACCCACAGGACTACCCGGACCCGTGGTTAGTCATGTGATATATTGTTTAATGCCAAAAATTATATAGAACTCTATGGTTACACTATAAGTCACTAATGTTTGCATTTCTTTTTGACTATGCACCCATTCTTTTTTACTTTTCATAAGGTTGAATAAAGATATAACTAAAGTCAACTTCAGTGTATGCATGACCAGATTGTTTAATACATGTATCTAAATACGTTTTGCCAGGGCTATGGTAAAACAAAATTCCTAATCGGACATTTTGTACGTATCTCTTGAAGACCTACAGTGGGTCCCGGGTAGGGTCAGGTAATAGGATGGGGGGGGGGGTAATCCGGGTAGTAAATTTGAACTTGTCCTTGTGACTTCCACTAAATCATGTACAATGGAATATTCCTTTAGTATCTGCTAAACTGAATAAAACTGTACACATTATATTTTATCATTAGATATTTACAAATCCACTTTTGGCCCCATAGTGACTGGTATTGCCTTTAATTCAGTCCTCATGCAAAGGAATTCTCCCAACACTGTCATAAGGGTTAGGCATACCAAGCTAGTCAACCACCACCAAAATGTTTGGGGGACATGACCACTGACAATCCAACATCCAATAAAATGGAAAAGATGCACTGTTGCAGTAAAGTCCAGACACTGCTTCGTTCTCCTCACAACAAACCAGAGGCCTAGGGCACTGCAAAATAGAATAACAAAGAATGAGCATACAAGTGTTATTTTCCCCATGGTTATAGTTCACAGGCTTCCTGTACGCTACATTTCCTCCATCACTGGGGAATACATGCAGCTGCCTTATTATCTCAAAGGTCATCTTGACCTTTGACATAAATGCAATTGACATTTGATATGATATGTGGTGGAGTTTATTAATATCATGTCAAGAAAGAGTCTCATGTCTGTAGAGGTAACCATGCTTCAGACACTGACAATAATATCAGTATGTTTTATGAGGAACTGGACAATCCGTACCCACTGAGATATGTTGTACCTTGTATTTTGGTGGACTTGTACATAAATCATGGATAACCCCTATCCACCTGTACCTAATCAACTGGATGACTCATACCCAAAAAGGCGTATTAGTACATGAGGAAAATATATATTATATAAAACAGTATTCGCTTCAATTATTATCTGTAGCAAGGATACTGAGGTGAGGTAAAATTGGGTTTAACGTCGCGTCCAAGATTATTGCACTTATATAGCGACATGCATGCACGTGTGGCTGCTGGTACTAGTCCGGACTGATGCCGATTTATAGTGCTAGCACACTGAGATACCATGCCGCAGTTTAACATGAATACACCACTCAGACACAGTATACTGACTCCGAGCCGACCAGTCCTTGTTTTTAGCCCTTTAATGCCGAGCGCCAGACAGGGTAACAACAAGTACCATTTTTTAACGTCTTTTGGTATGATGCGGCCGGGGATCCAACCCCGGACGGACTCTCTACCACTAGACCACGGGGGCGGTCCAAGGATACTGTAAAAGAACTATAGTCCTTGCCACTTGAAACAGAATAACAAAAGATTGCGATGATTAATTAATGGAGACAGCTGTATGTGTTCAAATACTTATATATAAAGTGAATATAAGCCATTCCGAAGATAAGGAATATTGCTTTCAGTAATCACAAGAATTGCAAAGTGCATTTTTTAAGAAATATCGATTTTCCTTGCCATAATCATCATCATTGAGTTTTGATCACATGGTTACAACCTGGGTAAGATTTAGGTATAGTTTAGCCCTGAACTATTATAGTCAAAGCATGTGGACATAAAATATTTTGACTCAGTAATGGCTTTTTCAAAATGGATGCCAGGATGACCACACTAATAATCAGATTTGAAGCAATTGAACAAATTGGCCCATCAAAGACACCATGACATAAGCTCAGTTCTAGTCAAGTGAGCTAAAAAATGTATTTGAGTTTCAGGAGTGTTTAAATAGTATGCCCGACATGTAAAAAATAAAGTGCCAGGCAAGTGGGAAAATATTGTTATGGTGCCCTTGAACAAGTATGAAAGTTACCTTTGAAATTTATAGTAGATACATTGACATTATTTGCTTAAAAAACCCATTGTAATTACCTCCCTTTACACAAACTCCTCGCTGGATGAGACTGGTTCCCTGCCCTAATGCTTCATTTCAGCTAGGTGCTGTTGTGTAGCATCAGCCAGCGTGTGCAACAGAAGCAGGGGATCAGTCTACTCACTGGATAAAAATCCCAGTTGGTATTCCATTGGTTAATTCCGATAGTTAGTTGAACGTTATTAAGTTATTTCCAAGTTCCAAGAGTATGTTTTGTTAGAATTTTGTTAGATTGGCTGAACTGTTAAACTATTACTAATCAACATTGCGTATCTCTAGACATCGTATTTCCAGTTTAACTGATGTGGCTGGTCCTCTGAACAAGTTTTTTTCAATATAAAAAGAAAGACACTGAAAACATAAAGGATAAAAAAAAAAAACACAAGTGGAGAAGGACAAACATGGAAAAAAACGGAAACGAGAGTTTCTTATATATTTCAATATTCTAGTTTGGTGGTGTTGTTGTTTGTTGTTTAACGCCGCAATCAGCAATATTCCAGCTCTATGACGGCGCTCTGTAAATAATCAAGTCTGGAGCAGACAATCCAGTGATTGACATCCTGATCATCAATCCACACAATTGGGATAAGATGACATGCATTAACCAACTCAAGGAGCCTGACCACCTGATCCTGTTAGTCGCCTCTTATGACAAGCATAGTCGACCTTAGTTAGGTGACTTCCAGTGTTTTCTTCTTGCCTCTGATTTAAGCAGGGCAAGTTGAAAATCACACTAGGCAAGTGGAATTTTTAAGTTTAGGAAGTTTTTGCAAACAATGAACCCTTTTCTACTGATACATCACCAGCATCATCTGTTCCACTTCCAAGAGATGCAAATGCCTGTATCACACACCTGGATATTTACACATGACAAAATATACACTTGCAATGTACATGTATAGAAAAGTGCAAATATTTTGTAATTTTGACTCAGCATTTAGAATGGGTTGATGGCAAATCTGACAGCATGAACATGTATTTCTCTAGATACAAAGGCTGTATAAAGATCTGAACCGTTTCATTGTTATGATCCAGGATCTAAGTTTCCAGAGGCAAGGCTGGACCCCAGGGCGAATCCTATTGGCTTAAATGTATTATTCTCTTCATAACAAACAAATGTATACAATGTATCTGTTTATCATAGGGTGGGAATAATATCGGTTTGCATGTTATGGTCAAGGTTCTAACACTTTTGGGAGTGCCGGACAAATGAACAGAGGGGCCATCCTGGTAGCATATGTGCATTCCTCTCATTATACTCTCAATTGTACATATGGTTATACACTGGGGATCTTAACTATGTCCAAGTTATAAACTCTTTTTGGCCCCACCCCTCAGCCCCTGGGAATACTACCAACCAAATATGGTTGATGTCCATCTCTTAGTTCCAGAGAAAAAAGTCATTTGAAGTGATATTGCCAAATTACCCTTTTTAGCCCCACCCATCAGCCCCCTCTATTTGTACAATTTTGAATCCTCACCACCGGAGAATGCTTCCAACCAAATATGGTTGATATCTATCTCTTAGTTCCAGAGAAGAAGTTGTTTAAAGCAATATAGACAAATTACTCCTATTTGGCCCCACCCCTTAGCCCCTTGAGGGGTCATTTGAAGAAGTCATTTGAAGAAATTGTTGATGTATGGACAACGGACAGACGACGGACGCCACGGTATGGCATAAGTTCACCTTGGTCCGAAGGACCCGGTGAGCAAAGATGACCAAACAACTCAAAAACCCAACACAACAAACAATGACAACAGCTCTAGACCAAGTATGTTACGCAATCACTTTACCTTAAATGACAACACTCCTGAAATACATATCTCCATATCCTATATTAGATCTCTGATTAAATAAACATTTGAGATCAGAATTTGTAGGTTAATACAATATATATCATAATGCCTAACATGTCTAATAAAATCAAATATTAAACTATACTTAATTTTGACTCATCCGTTTAACATCAACATGTGAGGACATTGCCCAGTTCCCACGAGAACACCTTCAATCAATAGGGCAGTTTGGAACATTTGCAAGGAAACTTCAACAATTGATGATGTCACAAGCTTGGAATACAAAATGGCGGCTTATGGCAGGTCACACCTAGAATTTTCCAATGGTAAGTACTGACAGTTATGACATATCTGATGGTTATTCAACACTGCACTCAGCATTATTACAGCTATAAGATGGCAGCCTGTAAATAACCGAGACTGGACCAGATGATAGTGATTGATACTGTGAACAATCATCCACACTGTCGGGGTACGATTATACACAATCAACCAAGTCACAGAGTCAGGCCACACAATTATATGGTTGCCTAATATGACCAGCATAGGTTGCTGTAAACCCTATTCTATCCTAGAATCCCCACCTGGAATATAAAGTATGAAATCTCTAACACTCATTAGTGAAAAAAAAGAAGTCGCAATCATACTAGAGAAGAAATACTTAGCAGTCTTGTTATTGGGGAATAGCTCAACGTTTGAGATAACCCTTTGACAAAAAATAATTTTCTCCATATTGATAATGGAGATATTGTTATTGTTTGTATGTTGTTATGATTGATTGTAAGTTATTGTTGTTTGTATGTTGTGGTTGTTGATTGTATATTATTGTTGATGGTATGTTATTGTTGTTTGTATGTTATTGTTGTTTGCTTTTGTTTGTATGTTGTGTATTGTGGATTGTATGTTATTGTTGTTTGTATGTTGTTATTGTTGCTGTTTGTATGTCATGTTGTTAATGGTGATTGTATGTAATTGTTGTTTGTACGTGGTGATTGTTGATTGTATGTTATTGTTATTTTATTGTTGATTGTTATTGTTTGTATGTTGTGTTGCCATTGGTGATTGTATGTTATTGTTGTTTGTATGTTGTGTTGTTATTGTTGATTGTATGTTATTGTTGTTTGTGTGTTGTATTGTTATTGTTGTGTGTATGCTGTTTTAAGCTGTGGTCAGCTATATAGAGGTGACCTGTAAGTGTAACTTACCAAGTCTGGCTAGGCCAGTTGTTGATAGCACTATCAACATTTTGCATAATGAACTTACCATGTGAGGCTATTCAGTGCATACGCAATAAGATTTGTCCTTCCTGAATCTTCATACAATCCAAGATCCTGAGAATGAAACAAAATACTTCCATCATAAAACAATAAAATAGTGCCACAGCACTGTAACTCACCTGGATATGTAGCTTACAGTTTAAAAGTGAACAAAGACGGACACTTTTCAAAATTTGATGTTAGTAATGATTTTCATAAATGTTCTGCAAAAGTATTGTATGAGCATTTAAAACACACACACAAAAACCTAATGATTCAAACATAATATTATGTAATCATAAAAAGAAACATACATGGCTCAGTCTGGCAATTTCAGAGGAGAAAATGTTTTACGGAGCCAAATATGCAATTTGAGAGAACTTATGAGCCTTGTCAAAAAGAAGGTAAAATTAGAAACAATATAAAAAATGGAAGATGTATTGTGTCTCACAACTACCTAAACATATAGAATTGTCTGTTACAGGTACAGTTTGAACAGAGATGGCCGAATCATGGCCATAATGAATAATGGACTCCTACTCATTGTGGGAACAAGCCCGTGAAAGTTCAATCTCCGCGGTTTCTGAGGAGATGATGTTTTTATTGCACAAAAAAGTGTATTTTGAGAGAATTTAAAAGCATGGAAGCTTCCAAAACGTAACTTGATTGTGATGTAGACAAACGTGGAATGGAAGCAAACAACATGAACAAGGCTGGTTGGAGAGAACTAATGACAAGTCTTTCTAACCATTATATTCACTTCCAGGAAATGTTGCTTGTGCATGCATGAGTTTTCATAGTACCACCGACTGGAGGGTGGGGGGTATACCAACACTGATATGTTATAGTATGTGGCTTGTTCACCAGCAATGTTTGTTGTTAATATTGCAGTCAGGGTACACTGGTATATACAGAAAAAAAAGTCTGACCACCCAATCCATTCATATGCCTCTCATGACAAGAAATAAGATTGCTGGTGACCTGTTCTAACCAGGAACCCCATCAGGGGGACCCCAGATGAGAAGACTTTCCCCCGTATCCACCCCACCAACCCTGACATTCATTTGTCTTCATCCTAGTTCGTGGATAGTATCCAATTTGGTCTTTAGACATTCTCTGTGATTACCTTGTAATAAACATGTACGATGTAGAACGATGTAGAACATGATAAAATACATGCCTTTGTTTATTAATTTATTAAAGGGGGGAGAGAGATATGGGCAGAAGTCTTAACAGAGTCTAAACAGAATTTAAAAAATATTATCACTTCTGATCAGAATAGCTTCGGCAGCTGAGGCGCAGACACAAGGCAGAGCGCAGACACAAGGCAGAAAAAAGGTTTGCAACAAAGCTTCTTACAGTAAAAATAAACCCATAGCTCTAAGCTCGCTATTGCTAATACTATTCTTAGGGGATTGCTTTGTATGATCATACAATCACTATATATACGCAACCATCAGAACAGCTAATCATAACATTCTTTGTGGAAGTGAAAATACTACAGATCTAAAGAATGTTAGCCTGTTATGGTAGCGAAGAAATATACATATGCGTACAATTTCCACAAAAAAGGCCCATGGTCAGCCAGATTCTGTCTTTGTCACAGTTTGTGTACCAATTTGTACATATATTAATAAATACCCAATCCAAGTTACAACAGATCACATATATATAAATATAAAGTTGTCTACACTTACACTCTGAGTAAATATCTGATCCACTGATGCATCAAAACGTCCAATCGTGTCCAATATAAAAATCCAAAAACCAAGATTTACATAATAAAAACTCTGCATGCACACGATCTGAGCAATAATCAACGTTGGGTCCCAAACATTGCTTCGAAATTGACCTGGCATGCCGTTCAAGCGACGCTTCAAAAGCTCGAACATCACTCATTAGACCTAGTCTTGTCTTTCAGCTTACTTGTGATGTTTGTGGCACTTATCGATCTTAACTGAAAAAACACAGATATGTTACAGTGCAACATTTAGGCCTAGTGAGACCGTATGTTGGTCGCGTCATGGATGGATGTTCACTTCCCGGAAATACAAACAGACCTTCTTACTGGGGGAGATCGAGCTAAAACGTCCCTGTACCAAAACGGCCGCGGTTTTAGTCAAAACGGATCAGCTAGTTTAGTCCAAATGCCCCGTTTATTTTTAGTCAAAACGGACCATAACGGCGAAAGAAGGAACATTTTTTAAACAGATCACATGGAGTCATAAATAAAGTATTTTAAAATGAATTTTAACAACATGCCCTTCCTTTATATTTCATTTAGGGCTTGGCGGTTCCTGAAATATATATATACCTGATTAAAAAATGTTGTCCGTTATGTAAAGATGGTGAAGGAATCCTCTGCCAAAATGCCTCCTCATCAGGGGATGTTTGTAAAGCTGTCGCTTTTGAACATGTTGAATGTCTTATTGCAGGGGGGAAGTGAGGATGGGTGCCTCATGGGTGGCCCAGTCGTCTACCTAGGCGCCGCAATTCGCTGTTGCAGAGTTGAGTCCCTTAATAGTTGGTCATTCGTCTCATCAGAGCGACACGCACAAAAAGAAGGGTGGTGTAACAACTCAAATAACAATGTCGTTGGTTGTGACCACCATTTGTTTTGATACAGTCGAGGCAGCGGCGGCGCATTGACACCAGATGATTAAAAGCAGCCGTGGGGGTGTTGTTCCAAATGTCAACCAAAGCATTTCTGTTTCTGATTCTGTCGTAGACCTTGTTCTGTCTCATCCCAGACATGTTCTCTTGGGGAGACCTCTGAAGAAACAGCCGGCCATGGCAGTACAGTAATATTATGCTGCCTCAAAATGTCTGTCACTACAGGGGCAGTATGTAAGCGGGCATTATCCTGCTGCAAAGTGACGTTAATCCAGCATTTGCACAAGGGAAGAACTCAATCTCGAACGATCTCGTTCCGGTAGGGTACGCCATTCATATTGCCATTTACAATGATGAATTGTGTTCTCCCATGATGTGTAATGCCACCCTATACTATAACACTTCCAAAACCAAACCCACAGCTCATAATTTTGTGTAAATATAAAACTCAGCCTCCATCTTCTTGAAGAGAAACAACTCTGCTTCGATCAGTAGAGAGTCTCGACATCAATATGGTCATCCCCATCAATACAGAATATTTCGTACTCAAAGCCATAATCTTTGACAGGAAGACTGTATGCCCGTAACCCTTATTTATTAATAATCATTTCAAATCTTCCATTTCAAGAGGCCATAAGAATTGTTAACTGTGATGGGAAATGACCATTAAGCATCATACCCTTTCTTGGAAACTGACGAGTAAAAGAAACGTTACCAATCAACATTGTTTGTTCCTAAAAACAGAACAGGAAGATACTTGTATGGTCTATAGACATGAATTTACATCATCATTCCAAGTTACGCCATGACAATCAAGTTGGCCTTAAATGTACCTTATTGCAGTTTGAGATGCATCAGTTGTGAGGATGAATGGTTTGCTTTGGCCCGGATATGCAAGGATGGGGGCTGTTGTGAGGGCTGGCTTTAGCTTTTCGATTGCCTGTTGGCAATTGTTAGACCATTCGAAAGACGCGTCTTTTTCAGAAGGTTGTATAGAGGGGAGACGATGCCACTGAAAGGTTTGCAACAAATTTGTGATAAGAGCTAGGAGACCAACTCTAAGAAATGACACACGTCATGGACATTTTTAGAGGGCGGGATTGTGTGACTGAATCAACTTTTGAAGTATATCGATATGGATGCTATGAGATGACTTGTGTTGTCGCAACATTTCCAATTGCTTGGTTTTAGAGTGAGTCCTGCTTCTTTGATCTTTTGGAATACTGCCTTGTGGTGACTCAAATGTTCCGAAAACATTTTAGAAAATATTGTACTCCTCAAAAAAAGAAAAAAAGAAAGAAACGCAAAGCCAGATGTGTGTGAGGTAGGAAAATACATCCTGGGGGAATGGTAGCCCACTCGGCCTGCAACGCTAAAGCCAACTGCCCTAAAAATGATATCTTAGCTCTCTTATCAGAAGAAAACAACAACATCTCAGCCCCTAAAATGAATGAAAAAAAACCCCCATGACTCAACCAAAAAAACCTACCCCCACTAAATATCAAATGGCCCGCCCCTTATCTCCTTTTTGCCTTATTCGTGTGTTGAAAATGCTTTTGGGACTTTAATTTTACGCTGTATTCGCAATGTCTATGTAGTTATAGATATTTTAATGGTACTTATGATCATTTTTGCCTCCACAATAATTGGACTTAGCTTGCTGTTAAGCTTTAATGATACTGTTGAATAGCTTGTGTTAAGCGCTTTGTTTTGACACTGACATCTTCCGTTTGGGTATGGTAGTTAGTTTGCTATTCCTGTTTTCCTATATGAAGCAACACACTTTGCGCCCCAGACTATCCCAAATCCGCGACTGACCAGGAGAGATTGTCTCTCTCCGAGGTTGGCGCGCTAGTATATATATAAACTTTGGGGAATTATATAATTTCCTTGCTCGCTCCAAGTGACTAAGTCCTTTCTATTAGACTAGTTTGATATTCAGACGGTCCCGTCTTTTTCATTGCCCAAGGGACTTTTTTTAGGGATAGTCCCTGTGTGTATTGCCCGCTATTTAACTCAGCCGAGGTTATTCACTCATAGATGTTGAGTTTATTAACTCAGGTATTAATTGGTCGCAGCCTACTTAATTGGCTGTGTGCGTAGTTTGTCTGTATCTCGTCAAAGCGTTGTTTTAGCTATTCTCATTTAATTACTTGAAAAATGGCGCGATTTGACCAAATAAGTTAATCTGTTTTACTGGTATCCTGTACCTATCTTGCGCAAGTTGACGACGCGCAGTGAGTGCTGGAAACGGGCTATAGCGAAAACGGCACCTCAGCAAAACGTCACCTCGGCTCAAGCGAAAACGGCTACTATATTGCCTGGCGAAAACGGCACCTTATTGTTTTTTACCTTAGTCAAATATTCCTACTTACTTATATTGGAGATTTTACGTGCGCTTTCCGACTGCAGCGTATTTCGCACACGGGCCCGTCCAGGCCATTTAATGTGTTTCCGAAAAGGGGGAAAAGTTGTTTGGCAATCCAGTAGGGGTGTTTTAGTGGTTGCTTATATAGAATTTTGGAAATTTTGAGATTTGGAAAAAATGCCAAGAGGGTTTGGGGGGCGAACTAAGGGAGCTGAGTATGGAAGTTTGTTAGTTTGATTATGTGGTTTGGTTTTGGTAGTTTTTTGGGGTTTTAATTGCGATTTATTAGTCCTGTTTTGATTAAGTATACGCCTAAGGCTTTGAATTATTCTATTTTATTTTGTGGGTTTAGGATTGCTTCCAGAGTAAGAGCCTTATTTAGATTTAGGGTGGTTTGTAGTGTAGTTCGGTGTGTTAGGTAGCGGGTGCAGTGTGCAGAGTGCGTGTTCTGGGGTTTCTTGTTGTTTTGCAATGTGGGCAGGTTCCTGTTGCGTGTTTTTTTAAATTATTTTGAGGTGGTTAACTTTGCCTTAGTTAAATCGTTTGAGCTTTTAAGTATTTGATTTATTAGTTCAGGGCGGTTTTTGGTGTTTTTATTTTGGAGGGCTTGTAGACCACTGAGCGAGTCTGTAAGTATTAGGATTTTTTGGTGTTTTTTAGATTGTTGATTATGAAGGGCTGAGGCCATGCCCATTAGTTCGGCCGTGAATATTGATTGATTGTTTGGGAGTCGGTAGGATTGTGTGGCTTTAGTTGGTTGTGTGATGTGGACTCCGAAACCTGTGTGTTTAGAGATCGGATCTGAGGATCCGTCTGTGTAAATGTGACACCAATTTGGCCAATTTTCATGTATGTATGCTAGTGTGGTGGTTTTTGCTATGTTTGGGTCGGTTTGTTTATTTATTGTGCTAGCTAGTTTTATGTCTATTTTGGGTGTTTTAAGTTTTGGGGTGAAGATATTTTATTTTTACAGTTTTTTCAAGATTGTTTATTTGTTGTTCATTTAAGCAATTGGTTATTCTTTGGGATATTGGAGTAAGTAGAGGGTGTTTTCGAGCTAGGGCTTGGTTTTTGGGGCTGATATTTTTGTTTATTAGGTTTTGGATTAGGGGGTTGGATTGAGACACGGCCCAGAAATTTGGGGTTAATTGTTCCATACGTAGATTTAGTGGCATTTCTCCTGTTAAGGCCTGGAGTGAAGTGTAGGAGGTGCCATGTTGAGTGCGTGTTATTAGTTTTAGAGCCTGATATTGGATTGAGTCTAGTTTTTTGCTTAGAGATTGGTTTAGGGTGTCGTATATGGCACATCCGTAGTCTATTTTAGATCTAATTAGTGATATATAGAGTGAGAGGAGGGTGTCTTTGGACACACACCAGGCGTGAAACCACTTTGATCTGGGTTTATGATGTTATTTTGAGTTAGGTAATGTTTTAGTCTGTTTTTAGCCATAGATTCCATGACTTAACATAAGTTTGAAGTTAAGGAAATTGGTCTATAGGAGTTAGCCTGATTATAGTCCAGGCAAAATAAGGTTTCACTTGGAACAAATTGCAACAGAATTTATTTTACCACAATGCATTTCTACAAGGTCCCGAAAACAACATACTAAAAGTCCCAAGCAATCCCAGTTTGGGAAATATGTCTAATTTGCATAATCCAATATGGCCACCAATTATCAATATATCTTCCATATGTCAGATGAGGGTCAATGCTTTGATGAAAAAAAACATGTGTTGCATTGCGAAATAACCATGTTATGTTTCTAAAAAGATATTCACAACAACTGAACGTTTTCGACAATTGACAAATCTGCAAAAATTCAAGATGGCCGCCAATTTCAAGATGGCCGCCAAGTTTCCTAAATGTGTGTTTACACTGTTAAATCGTTTATCTCTAAAACAGTGTGCTAGGACTTATATGCATATAACTTGGCACACTAACTCACTGAAGTATAGTTAACACTTTGAGATAAGAAATTCCGTCACCAGAGCCCCCTGGTGGCCCACATTATTTTTGGTCAAATAAGTGATATTAAACTTATATGGTAACTTGCAAACACCAATAATTGTGAGATGTTAAAACAAGTTTACATTAGAAATTAGCCTCTACTCCAACTATAATCCAACTTAGCTTATACGCAACACAACTTATTCTGAAAACATGACATGCTTTGAAGAAAAATAATAGAAATTAAACTCACATCGTCTCTTACAAACACAAATAATTGTGAAATAAAACAAGTAAGAAATTAGCCCCCTACTCCAATTTACTCACCGACTCTGATTGGGAGGCGCAGTTAACTTATTGTGAAAACACTATACGCTTTGAAGTTTTAAGTACCTTTACTCAATTTAAGCTGAAACTGTATTTAACAGGCCTTACATGGTGCTGTCAGATTACAATTATTCACAATGGCCTTTCGACGTGTTGCATGCGAGAAGAATGTCAGAAAACAACAACATGCTGTATCATGTGATAACTGTGATATGTAAATAAACCATATATATTACTACCGACACATAGTAGCCGTTTCGCCAAATGCGGTGCCATTTTCGCCAGAGAAATCGGTGACGTTTTGCTGAAGTGCCGTTTTAGCCTGCACCCCACCAGGTTATGTGGACGTGAAAAAATCTCGTTGATTCTCGCGAGACGTCCACCGCCACCAGCAGAAGCAGTGAGAAAGGTTAGATGTAGGCCTAATATAAATGTAGAATATTACAGCTCGACTTATGTTTCAGAGCATTTAATTGAACTAATACATTTTAAAGTTATTAATAGTTTCAATATTTTGTATTATTTTGAGAATGTTGACTCGACCCATTATAGTGTTCAATGTCCGCCCGAGCGGTACAAGGTCATTCATTTCATGCATGTGCGTACTTGATGATATTTCACCTTCATGTTAGGCTACAACACACGTACAGGGTTCCACAGGACACGGGTTATATTTTCAATTGTATCATGATAACTAGATAATATAAGGCCTACACAACATTACTGTTGCCTAAGTTCGTGGATACGCGAATTTGCACGTTCTTTTGCCAATAAATCACGCCTCACCTCTCAGGAAATGTTTCCTTATTGTAAAGATCTCTGCCATGTAGGCCTACAATTCATCGTCTGCTTCCTTTGACTTCCCAAAACATTTGCTATGCCAAAAAAGTAGGGGACATTGGAAATCATCAAGACATATCTTCTGATCTAGGCAAATCGGTAACTGGCAAATGAAAATAATATGATATCAGCTTGGGTATAGGTGATCAGATCTAATGGTTGGTGTGATGAGATGGTTGGGGCACCAGGTCGTTGAAGAGGTCGGGAGTCAAATTCGAAATTTTCATTTTTGCATCCAATGCAAATCGGGTAAAATATGTTGGCCAGACATGCACGAATTCTGCAAGGCCGATTCAACTTATGACAGCTTCTCTCATGTTGTTCCACTCATCTGTGAGAGCAGCATGCACTGAGTTCATTGAGAGACTGAGTGGTTGTGGATTTTGACGTGAGGCACACATTTGCCAATAATGTCCCTGACGTGTTCAAAGGGGGGTAGGTCAGGACTGAGAGCTGGCCATGGCATGATAAGACGTTTTCCTGTTGTAGGAATTGGGTCACAGTCCTGGCACGATGAGCTTGTGCATTATCATCTTCAAAGATGAAATGTTGCCCAACACATTGTACAAATGGCACCATGATTGGTGTAATGATGTTGTCCCAATAGTATTGACATATGTCCATGGACAAAGTGGAGCGCAGTTTGGCCAGTCAGTCATTATGATACCACACCGCCCCGTATGCACCCACCCCCAAAACGATCATGCTGTATGATGTTATGTCCATAAAACACTCATTAAGACGTATACAAACTCGATTCCTACAGTAATAGAAGGTCTGGGCATGTACTCTTTCCACCAGTTGTAAGTTGTTGCCCTTGAGCATTCCACCCCTTTCACATGCTGTCTGAGATCACATGCTTCATGACTGTCACAAAATTGTTTGGAAGCCTGCTTTCTAAGGAAATGTTCTTGCCACATAAATCACTTACTTTCATTGCCAGACATTGGTGTATTTTCCTATGGGTTCCCCTCAAAACAAAATATCCCCTGCTTTTTTGGCATAGTATAGATAACATGATTAAACAGGTGATGCTTTGTAAAAAATTGTATGCCTGTTCTGACCATCTGATTCTCTTGGACCTACTTTAGAATTCAATACACTTTGCCAACATGTCACTTTACCCTATGATGTAATTTGTAAAGTTTTTTTTGTCAGATACATAGAACAATGCCCTGTGACATCAGTCAGGAACAGAGTTCCTGGGGTTATCAATCATGCTTTTGTTTGTTTGTTGTTTAACACTGCACTCAGCAATATTCCAGCTATATGATTATGACAGCGGTCTGTAAATAATCTGGACAAGACAATACTTTGATTGATATCATGAGCATTGATCCATGCAATTGGTATTCGGTGACATGTATCAACCAAGTCAGTAAGCCTGACCACACGATCAGTCGTCCCAACCGTCTAAGCAGCAACCATTTTGGTGGCCAATGTGACTTATTCTATGATTATGGACCTAAATTTGTCTACTGCTCGCCACTTTACTGCTAAAAAGTAAACACAACTGGCAACAATATCTGTTTCAGATACAAATAGATAGTACTTGAAGATCTCGTTTACCAAGTCATGCTTGCAAGACCATTGTCAGTACTGCCAATACCTGATATACATGATAACCTAAAATGTTTCATGTCGTGATGTTTATTTATTTCCAGTTAATACAATTACAGGGTTTTCATTAATAGCTGGGGTATTTTGTTCTCTGCTGCAATTGCATGAACATAAGTGATATTGTACCAAAAGGAAATAGCCTTTAAAGATATAGAAACAGCCTTATAGATGTAGTTTATAGAGGCATGAGATTTTGTCTTGCCTCTGACATGTCTTTCAAAACTGAAAGTGATGTCCTTAAATCGAAAGTGCTCATAAATATGTTAAGACATCTACAAGAATAGGACTATTTTTTACTTCTACTGCATTACTCCTTAATGCATATTACTGCTTGTTCTTGACAGAGAAAAGAGCTGTGTGAAGGTCTTTGCTTGAAGAAGTTGCTCCAACTAGCTGATCCAACTAGCTGAGAGGCCAACCCATCACGCAGCTCTCACGTGACCAGAGGAAGTGACGTCACGGATCATCACATTACTCTTGTCACCTGATGAGAGAAGACCTGTTTTTCTTGTAACATAAAACTGGTTCAAACCCTCACGTGTTTGCTATTTGAGTTAATGTTTTTTGTCTTTGTGTTGTGCATACGGTTTGTATTTTGTACATTCTATGTTTGATAAACATGTGCATAACTTTATTAGACACTTACTGGCGTTTTCTTAAAAGAAAACATAAGGCCAGGTGTTTTGTTGCTCCAAGTAGCCATCTTGAATATTTTGCGTAGCCAGCTGTTTGTGGACTGTTTTGCGTTCTATATTCTTTTGCTTGGTACCCCACGATTGGTGTATCATTGCATGTATTGTTTTGTTTGATTGTATGTTGTCTTACGTTTGTTGTAATATTTGTTTCATAAACCCACATAGTGGGATAAACAAATTAAAGCATACATAATCGGGCGGGGACGCATTGTGATTTTACACTGCTAGGTTGCAGATATCATGCCCTCCTGCTTAAAGTGCCGGCGCAATATGTCGGTGTGGGATCCCCACCCCCTGTGCCTTAATTGTACATCTCAATGCCACCAAGATCACCGATGTAAAGATTGTTTACTGCTTTCACCCACAGCTTTCAGTGTGTGTGCACTAAAAGCAGAACACAGCAGGCCAGGAAACACCGGCGCAGGATGTCAGACCTTTCCGAGGTTTCGCCATCCAGATCGGCCATCTCGGATGACCTCCGACCTCTTCTGCTTCCTTGATGTCGGTCCCCAGGGTTGAAGTCACGTTGTAGGGTGGCGCTGGCGTACCAGACGGCGCCTATACCTTCCTTCGGACAGACGCCTGGTCTCCCACAGGTCAGATGCTCGGTCTACCACAGGCACCCCTGCCTACGGTACAGGTGCCCCTGCCTTCGGCACAGACGCTCGGTCTCCTACAGGCGCCCCCGCCTTCGGCACAGACGCTCGGTCTACCACAGACGCCTCCGCCTATGATAGATGCCTCCCTCCTCCAGTACCTGCAGTACTTACAGGCGAGACAACCGGCGACGCCAGCACCTTTACAGCACCTAGACAGGGTCAGAGATCTAGGAGCCGCTCCCCGTAAGGCGCTCCAGTGGCTATCGATCCGACTCCTCGGAGGGCGCCATCAACTCTTGTTATGATGACACCCCTATGGACGGTGGATCCCACCTGGGTTTTGACCAGGTCGCTGACTGGTTGGCTGACAGATTGGAGGCTATCGCTCCCTCGCCTGGCAAGACGGCTATCAGTGCGGACCCCACTTTGATCCCTCTTGACCCACTGATCAGAGACATGATCTCAGCCTTGGACGAGGACTTCAGAAAACTGTCACTGACTCCGTCCTTCAGGGCCCCACGGGATAGAGATGACTTCCCAGTTCACTCTCTTCAAGTTGCGGACCACACTCACTCCTTGGATGAGGACATGCACCGCTTGACGGGATCGAACCACTCCACCTCAGTCCGAGTCTCTGAAAACAAACTCGCCTACGTAGAGACCGAAATTCGCCACACGCTCAAACCCCTCTCTCTGATGGCGTCAACCTCCAAGGCCATACTGCAGGACTTAGCAGAGGACAACCCCCATAGGATTGACCATCTAACCACCATCTCCAACAACAGGTGGAACAGATGCGCTCCCACATGTGCGCCGCTCTGATCGAGCTCACTACCACCAGACACCTTGGGTATCTTGCCTTGTCCAACTGGGCCCCAGACTTCAAGAGACCTTTTGCGCCAACCCCGGCTCTGACCTCTTTAATGGACAAATATCCGAGACACGCCCGGGTCTCAGCTTTCGCCAGTGATGAGACGTCTCTCAAGGCCCTGGCCAAGATGTCTCAGCCAGAATCTGCTAGGGTGTCCCAGGCTGGCTCCTACCAACCGCATCACAACTCCCTCCGGTCCCGGGGGCGGGGCGCCACCTCAACCCCTTGAGGCAGAGGCAAGGGGAAAGGAAAGTCCTCAGGCTCATACCAGCCCCGTCGCGGCTACCCCAAGAGGGGTTATGCCAGCCACAGGGACCTCCCATCCCCAGCCGTCCAAGTTGTCGACACCCCAATAGGTGCGAGACTGGCTCACTTCTGGCAGAATTAGGAGATCCTTGGGGACCCATATGTCACCATCCAACACGGGTACAAGCTGACACTTGTAGACGACCTGCCACTGACGTCGTCACCCATAGTGGACACATACCCCCCAACTCAACAGCAGCTTCTGAGCCGAAACATCACGGCGCTGCTATACAAGAAAGCCATAGAGGTTGTACACGCCCCAGCCATAACACTGGGCTTCTATTCACCCGTCTTCCTGGTCCCAAGAAGGACTAGGGACAAGCACAGGATGATACACAACCTCATGGCCTTCAACAAACGCTACCTGGCGCGTCCACCGTAATTCTGGATGACCACGCTCAGGCTACTGCGATCCCGGATCCAGGTGCAGGAGATGCTCATCAGCCTGGACATCGAGGATGCCTACCTACACGTCCCTATACATCCCCACGACCAGAAATTCCTCCACTTCATCTTCATGGGAGTCCATTACCAATGGGTGGTCCTCCCGTTTGGAATTTCTTCAGCCCCGTGGCTATTCACACGGCTTACCAAGCCGATAGCCTCGTACCTCCATCGCCCGGACATCCAGTTCGAGGCATACATAGATTACTGCCTACTGGACCATCTGGACACGGTCACTCTACTCCGCCACAGGGACTTCACCATTCGACTCCTATACCAGTTAGGGTGGAAGATCAACTTCAGGAAGTCAGAGTTGACACCCTCCAAGCGCCTTCAGTTCATCGGGGGCCTCTTCCAGACGGACCTCGACCTCATCTCTGTACCAAGAGACCAGTGGGAGTGCATGCAGGCGCACCTGATTCGCGCTCTCCACCTACCACGCACTCTGCGCCAATGGCAAGTCCTCCTGGGCCTCCTAACCTCGGCACAGGACTTGACCTACAGAGGAAGGCTCCAACTGCGCCCTGTTCAGATGTTCCTGGCGCCCTACATCAGACGCCAGGACCCCGCTCTATCCATCGTTCTCCCGGATCATCTCAAGCAGCATCTCTGGTGGTGGACGGTGGAATTGAATGTCTTAGGTGGCGTCTCCTTGACAGGGCTTATGACCTCTCTACGCCTTTTCTTAGACCCGTCCATACAGGGATGGGGGGCACACCTGGAGGGACAGGTCGCCTCAGGGCTGTGGTCCACCGATCAGTGCCTCTGGCACATCATCAATCTCGAACTGGAAGCACATGGCACATTGCCCAACCACCAGGAGCCTTTATGACGACAAATGGCAATCCTTTGAGAGCTTTTGCAGGAGTAAGCACCAAGACCCCACATCTGCATTGCCTCCATCTGCGACACAAGCGTAAGCTCAAGAGCAGTACCATCATGACCTGCCTCGTGGTGCTCAACTCCGTCCTGGCAGTCCCGAAAGATAGAGGCATGACGAAAATCCCGGAACTCCAGGCACTGCTCCGCTCCTTCAGGCTGGAAGACCAAAAGGCGAAGTTCCGTCCCACGGCCTGGGACTTGCACGTCATTCTCACCTTGCTGAGAGACGCACCTTTCGAGCCTCGCGTCGTCATTCTACAACCTGACGAAAATGACAGTCTTCCTACTGGCGCTCGCTACAGCAGCCCGGGTCAGCGAGTACACGCCCTAGACAACACAAGGGTCTGCTTTGAGCAGGGAGCACACGGATTAGTGCATCTGGGCCTGTGCTGGGACTTCATTGCAAAGAATCAGCTCCCAGGCCAGCCTGACAGATTGTTCCTCATCCCCCATGTCATTGATTGTGGGCGAGGAAGACGAACCAGAGCTCCGTCTTTGTCCGGTTAGAGCGCTTTGTTGCTACATCCGACAATCCGAGGAACATCGTAGACGACATCTTTGTACCGGTATCTGCGACCTCGCGAGTGGAGGTCAGCAGCAACACGATCACCCTCTGGTTACAAGCCATCATCCTCCAGGCCTACGAGGCCGCGGGAATGGACCCCTCCACGCTCCAACAATCCGCATGAGATCCAGGCGGTCGCCTCAACCATGGTGCTTCACAGCAACTGCTCTCTACGCGCCATCATGGAGGGATGTTTCTGGCGTTCCAACACGGTCTTCGCCAGTCACTACCTGCGAGATGTCGCTTTGGAGGACGTGCAAGGCACGCACAGCTTTGGTCCGCTAGTAGTGGCCCAGCAGGTCAAATGGCCGAGTGCTATTGTCAGGCTGTGCAGTACTAGGACATAACGCATACCTGATTTTTCCCATCCATGTCATGGTCATCCAGGCCGACCACAGCCGAAGACGGGCTGAAGGAAACGGAGTTTCCTATACATGGAGTGGTCACCTGATGCCGACCACACAGTCTAGGATTGGCTAGGGAACAGAGTCTGGATATAACAGATGAAAGGTCCACATCTGAAGGTATGCCCATCCCCGTTTCCATCGGATAAAGATGCATTAAGGAGTAATGCAGGATAAGTAAAAAATCTAGTAAAATCCTAGATATTTTTTATATTTGTATACTTATCCTGCATTACTGCGTCTAAAGGGACCCGCCCATCGCAGATCTACCTTCCCATGTTTTGGACTACAGAGTAATGTGATGATCCATGACGTCACTTCTTTGGTCACGTGAGAGCTGCGTGATGGGTTGGCCTCTCGGCTAGTTGGAGCAACTTCTTCAAGCGAAGACCTTCACACAGCTCTTTTCTCTGTCAAGAACAAGCAGTAATATGCATTGAGGAATAATGCAGGATAAGTATACAAATATAAAAAATATCTAGGATTTTACTTGTTCTGTTGTAGTGTACAGGAAAAGGTGAAGAAGGGGATGCTTTTATTTTTGCTTGTAATGGCATTATGCAAGCACCTTTTTTGTTCTCCAATGTGTTGATGTACATCAGGGAAAGTTCATATCAATGTAATTTCAGAAATTTAAGAGGGAAAAAAATATGTTCCAGTGTCATTCAGTTAAGAAAACAAACAAAAACAAGCTGTGATAGGAACTTTTTATCAAGTGAACAATGATGAAGTGTTCAGCCTAACAGAATATAAATATTCCCTCATCCCTTCAGCTTAATCTGAAAAAGGCAAATGAGATAAATAATTACAATGCACAAAAATCCCCTTTCACAATATTATTCTTTGTTACAGATGAGTGCTCAGCTTTTGAGAACAGTGGCACGAAGTGCCAGGATCCCTCACCAGAGATCGATCACGTCAACATCTGTTCGAAGGCAGGATGTTGCATTAGATCAAGCTCTTAAAGATAAAATTCATCCTAAAGTTGGTGAGTGAAACTTTTGGGTCAAGTGTGGTATCGGTTATCTCCACATTTTCATTGTCCATCAAATATGTATCAGTGTTGGCTGAAGAGCGCTTTTTTGCGTCTTGGACGCACTAATATGAGTTCAGACGCCCCTGCATAACGTGTGGGTCTTGTGGACCCAGTGACTGGATCATTATTAATTTCGGAATTTCATATCAAATGGCCACTGTTATTGTAAATCAAAGCCGTAAGGCATTTATTGCCTATAAGACAGCGAAGCATGTTGATTAACACATCCGTTTGCTAAATCAAACCAGTTTCATTATCCTCTCCCTTCTTTCAACAAATGCCCAAACCGGTTTCTTGACGTATATCTTTTTTCGGTTTTGCATTTTTATGAGCTACATCCTTATGGCATTAGCATTCAGACTGGATAACTCCCAACAAAATGTTGAAATGCAGTGCCATCTACTGTTGTTATTTCATAAAATCGAGTCAGAATTCACCATCGGGAATCTGGATAAACTACAGGGATAATTGCTATCATTATCAAAAGAGCAGTCTAATACCCTGAAAATCAGTGTCTAACTGACGTAGCTAAGGCATTTTATAAGTTTTGGCAACTTTGGAGATATAAATTTCGAAACAATTTTGCGAGGGCACGAGGCCTAGCCAAGCAGGATCAGTAGCTATATCTGTGCTTGTAGACCTTCGCGGCTTGAAACCTTCTCCACAAATTAAAATAGTTGGATTTGGCCGAAATATGTTTGAATTGTTACCTTGTTTCATTTTGTCGCTGTGTGTACATCTGACTACACTTCTTAACGTTATGACAGGACAGACCGACTGTCAACAACGTCTGACCGTGGCCGTGACGTCTCATAGACAAGGGTTAGAGTAGCTTCCCTTTGTCAAAGGGCAGTTACTCTAGCGAACAGACCGGTGGATTGCCGCAATAGGCAAATAAAAACAATTGTTGTTTTGCGTATATGTTGCTTCGCCTCTGTATAAGAAACAGATTTCAGTTGGAACTATATTGGCTACTGTCACTGTCCGACTGACACATCACTTACCCTGTGACACAATAAATATTAATGCACGCATTCCAGGAAAACTTGCAATGTTTCGGTAATGTTTGTGAGAGAGGGAAAGTGACTTTGAAGCACAGAATTAAAGAATGACATTATATGATAAAGAGGTTATCACGCTTGTGTGTCTGCGGATGGTAAATATCCTGCAATAGGAATAAACATTGTATTTAGTGAGCCTAGGCGATAACCTCTATATATGGATATATCTTCGGATATCCCATTTTAGAACATTAATTATTCCACTGCGCATATTTAAAAATATTACCATTAGTATTAACAAAACGTTAAATTAGTACTTATATTTCTGTTTTCTACTTGAGAAGAAATTACAGTAATATTTATGTATTTCTGTTCATGTTGACTTTATGGGGAATTATTTGTGAGGACAATAATAGATTGTTTTGGAGGCATGTTTACCGCCATCAGCTGTTCATTTCGTTGGCATGCAGGAGACAACAATCTGCAGTTATCAAATTTTGACGATGTGTGTTTAGATCGTAACTTAATATATTCAAGGGGCGGTCGGGTAGCCTAGTGGATGAAGCGTTCGTTCGTCACGCCGAAGACCCGGGTTCGATTCCCGACATGGGTACAATGTGTGAAGCCCATTTCTGGTGTTCCCCGCCGTGATATTGCTGGAATATTGCTAAAAGCAGCGTAAAATCATACTCACTCACTCACTCACTAATATATTCAAACTGATAAAAGAAATAGCGACAGTTTGTTGGCCAAAAATACATTGCTTACATTCCAGTGCTTTCGTCAATTTCGCTGTCTTATTTCTATCTGGTATGTATGGTATCAGAGACTGGATCTCTGACCATATCAAATTTAATCTTATCAATATGGTCTTTTCAAATAATTTGACAGTTCAGTATATTATTGCTCCAGGTTCGCCCTTTTGTTTAATTAGCAACAATTAGGTCATTTATTTGCTGCAGAAGGTGGTGTGTTTGCCATGTGCAGCAGCCAGAAATGCAATCTCATTAAAATCAGATCTTAGTTTTCGCGACCTCTAAACAAAGATCTGAGGACATCTCATTACGGATCATGTCAGAACGACCTTTCATCTGACCAATCAGAGCAACGCTTAGCAGATCATGAAAGTGACAGTTGGAATGTGATTTTTTTATCATCCTTGTGCAAGAGTGACAAGTTATGGCTTTATGTCTGTATTCACACAATGTAGACCATCTATTAGCCATTCCAGAATGTTCTTTTGTTCAGTTTTTAATTTTTTAATCGAGTATATAACAAAATATGTTTCGAAAGAGAGATTGCCAGTTTGAAACTTGTGCCGTAAGGCTCGATCAGCCCGCCTTCTGATTGGCTATTGCTGACTTCTTATTGGTTATTCCATTGGTCGGTCAAAGTTCGCAAAAGTTCGGTCTGAAATGACCCGTAATGGGATATCCTTGTTTTGCAGCAGCGAGAACTAAGATCTGATTTTAATGAGGTTGCCAGAAATGTCACTGGAAGACTGTTGACATTCACCATGTTCATGAATTACATTTGAAAGATTAAGTCTTAGTTTTCAAGTTTTATGGACGTATTGTAGTATATTCTAAAAAATCTAAATCCAACTTGCTGTTTTGCCATGAGAAATAGTTCAAAACTTGTAATTCATGCTTGGTGACCATTCTTGCATGAGGGTATGCTCATGAAAACACAGTGCCATCTTATCTAAAGACAAGGCGAATCTCACCTAAAAAACAATCGTTAGAAATTGTATGTGAAATTTGTATATTATTATGGAGAAAGAGTTGTAGGTATATTAATTTGCTCGTAATTTGTTTTAAAACTTTACCCGTGAGTGCCTTTTTTTCTCTTGATTTCTGCATGGACGCACATACATGTACGTCTTTGATTTGTGCTAGGATTTAAGTTTTTGAAAATACCTTTAATGACTAGGTGTTGCAGATCACGGAATAGGATTTTAGTCCACTACCAAAGTGTATTTATTGTAAAAACTAACACTTGTTTTGCCAATCGGGGATAAAAAATGTTACGCGCTCCATCATTGTCAGCTGATGCAAAGCTCCATGCAGGGATATTGGAATTGGTTTTGCACAGTAAGAGGTAGCATGCAGTGTTGCGAGTATGCAAATCACTGTTTTGATTGACAGCTTTTGACGATTGAATAAACTACCGTGTAAGTTTTTTATTGACACTTTTATGGACCATAGATAATTTCATGCAAGCAATAGAACATTTTTTATTTTTGTAGGTGAAAATGAGAGTGTCAATGCAGATAAAACTATTGAAAGATGTTTGCAATTTTTAATCCTGATGATTGACTGCATCAGTAAACTTGTGATCTTCTGTCAGGTACTTACAGACCGCCGTCATATAGCTGGAATATTGCTGAGTGTGGTGTTAAACAATAAACAAAAACAAAAACAAAAACAAAAACAACAACAAATCTTTTGTCAGGACGTCTGAGCAGAAACCGTGACTCATCACTGAAAACAATGGTTCTCCGTCTCTGTAATGGCCAGTTGAGATGGTTAAACAGCACTGTCCGCGTAGTTGGCGATGCTGTCGTTTAAGGATTGGTCCCCCGCTAGTCTCCTTGGACGTATACCAGCATCACGCAGACGGTTCAAGGCGGTTACCCGGGTAGATACGATATTCTCAGGTGTGGCAGAGGTTGCTGTAGCAAACCTTTTCCATAAATATCGTAGACAGATGAACCTGTCCTGTGAGGGTGTGGTGACACCAGAACGTAGCTGATCATGTGTTCTATGCTGTTGAAAACTGTGCCAAGGCCTCCCTATTGTACTCTGGGACATATTCTCAGGAACACTGGACCAATGAAGCTGAAACATCACATACTTATTCCCACCAAATATGACAGCCCCAATCTGTTCATGGATGTCATAGTTGCCATATTGAAAAACAACAACTCTTTATCATGTTTATTGACATTTTTGTTAAAATGCATTGAAATATACGATGTTTAGTTGCTAGTGGGGCTCAACAATTTTGTTCAGTTTTGCGGAAATTTTTTATTTAAGACTTTATTTGTCCTTGGTACTTTGACCATTATGGCATGTTGAAAGCTTAAACCTCTTATGGCCATTGCTCAGCCATCTTTCAAAATGTAATGAAATTTGTGTATTTACTACATATGGCGTAGTGGGGCTCAACATATATCATGTATATATTCAGTTTTTTGTGATATTTTGAATTTTGACCTATATTTGTCCAAGGCCCTTATGAAGATATTTTGAAAAACATGTTTATGGCCACTGATCAGCCATATTTGCTCAAAATGTACAGTCATGCTCTTAAATTCACTCAAAGTGGAATTTTGGCTCTGACAATTTCAGAGGAGGCGTTTGCATACAAAAGAAGCTGAACTTGCCATGTATGTCTTTCCCTTTGATGACATGATATTTACATCAAAACATTCGCATTTTACCATGTTTACTATGTTTTTTTAATGGAACAATTGAAAAAAATGTATGGCTTTGGAAGATGCTATATTCTCCTTAGCATGTCTATAAGTATATAAGGATCAGAGTGGAAACACAGTAATGTCTTTGTGTTTGGGAAAAAAACCATCAAAACTCTTCAACCCTATGTATAAGACGACCCCCCTTGAAAGCCCCCTGTATCTAGGTACGAAAAACTTGCCTTATTTGCATCGATATTAGGTAGTTGACATGCAGTACCCTCACACAGTTGGCACGTGACCCGGATACAATGACCTCACATAAGAGCACATTACTGCACATTACTGCCTTCACGGATAGACATGTATTCTGTTATTAAGGCTCCACAGATTTCCGGCATCCTTTCCCTTTTTTATTTCAACTTTTGCATTTATATTGTTTTGTGATTATGCCTTTCATGGTACTTCCATACGTATATTTTAACGTTTTCCCACTCATTTGTAGAGCTGGTCATGGTAATATTATGGGCGTATTGTTGTCCCATTCGTCATTTTGGCCACAATTTTGTGTCTTGCGTTCTGAATTCTTTTATTTGGCTTGGATAATTCTGTTTTAAGTAATGTTTTGTGTGTGGTTTACAGTGGTTTAAGCATTGCTTTACACTACTGTTGCATAATTGTTTTCTCTTATAAACTTGTCAGTTTTTGAGTTACAATATGCCTCCCGTTTCCCGTTGTATGCTTTCCACATCAATATGACATTGCTAAAATTACAGAATATATGCCTCGTATGCTTTGCCTCGGAAGCAAATTGGGCCGGGATCCTCACCCTCACTGCCTAGAATGTACGAGTTCCTGTACATCATCGTCCCACTCCCTCTACCTAAACGTAGTTAGGAAGTGTCAGATGCAACATGCTCTTGGACACCCCAGGATGTCTGACGCAACGGAGGCACATTCCACCATCGAGATTGATGCCCTCACTTCTATAGCCTGACGCAGCTCCACGTCATTTCGATCTGGTCACCGTTCCATTAGTAACTATCGTTTGGATTCCACAGAGGGATCCTTTCAAACTAAAAGACATTTTGGTCTGAATCAGCTTGCAGACTGTATGGCCCCATCGTTTAAAGCGCCCTGTTTTAGGAGAGATGACTTCCTGTTCACTCCTTTGATGTGACTGATGGGGCACACATGTTATTTGTTAGTTGAAGACCTGCATCGCATGACTGGTTCTTCAAAGACTACAACGATCCGCTTGGCAGATACTTGCTCTACTCTACTCTCCATCCCTGCTCAAACAGATCACCTGCTTTTTCGACCCGGTGGACAGTCTCTAATTGCAATTCAACATACAGCACCTAGTGGCAGCTCCACCCAGACATGTTCACCATGATGTGACAAAAGATCAACTCCCCTACATCGTTCTGTTTGTCACATTCTAGAACTGCCAACTGACAACTTAATCTCATCGGTTCCGGATCCGTTTGCAATAGCTGTCGAAGCCTTCAGCATTCCCTGGGAAGGACTTAGCACGTACACTTTTCAGACTGCGGTTCTCCTTCCCAGGGTTCTTCAAAAGATCCAGGCCACCAAAAACCTGTTGGCCGATGAGAAGTTGGTTTGTTGGCCTCCCGAGACCTTGCCAGTGAAACCCCCAAGAAATTCCTGTATGGCCAAACCTCCTGTTACACCCGCACAGCAGGTTACCACACCCGAATCTCGCTGTATTGCATTAGCCCATTGTCCGTCTATGACGACATGTGGTACTCCTTCCAGTCCTTTTTCTCAGACAAAGACCCGGATTCAATGACAACATCACCCCAGTTCTTGGCAAATGTCGATTGAAAGGTTCTACCATCTCTACCTACCTGGTTGCCATTAATCCGGTTCTTGCCATTCCAGATGTTCTGAAATGATAAAAAACTCAGAACTCCAGGCCTTGCTGCCCTTGTTTCATCTTGAAGACCAGTAAGCCAAGTTCAGACTGCCGGCTTGGGACCTAAACATGGTTTTACGGGCTTTTTGGGCGGCTCCCTTCAAACCTCTCCATTCGTCTTCCTTATACGACCTTATCATGAAGACAATGTCCCTTCTGGCTTTGGCCACCGAAGCACGGATCAGCGAGCTTAATGTCCTTGATGTTTCCAGTGTTCTGTTCGAACACTGTGCTCTTGGAGCTGTTCGGGGGGCACAGCTAGCCTAGTCCAGAGATGCGTCCCTTGGGCATGCCAGAAACCTATGATTGTGGGTTCGAATTCTGGTTCGCACTGTCTATGTTTCTAGGTTTGTCAGCACCATACCCATGCTCGTGGGTTTCACCGAAGTGGTAATTGTCTCAGACCTGCATCACTTCGGGCTTTCCTCCCACATTAAGCTGACATGCTGCAATATAACTGAAATACTGTTAAAAGCGGCGTTAAATCCAAACTAACTCACTCACTCACTTTTGGAGCTGTTTATCGCTGGCTGTGCTCTGGAAGAATCAGCTCCCAGGACAGCCGGACAGATCCTTTACCTTCCCCGCCCCTCTCTCCATTAATTGGGATTGAAGATGTACAGGTACTCCTCTTATTTTGGTGCATGCTCTGTGATGCTTCATTCGATGCTCTGAGGTTCGTCAGAAACATCTGATACGCAGTGGAAGTCTTAAAAATAACTCATCAAAACTTAAAAGTTAATGTCTGTCTAATAACTGAAACTCCATAATTTACACCATATTTGAATTAACCCATGATTTCAGAAACAATTTCTAAATTCACTACTTACCACGATTTGTACTTATTTGACAATGTTTTAGTCCTTATTTGACTATGAAAAACCCTTATTTGGTTTTATTAAAGTCCTCATTCGACTTTACAAATACTACAATTGTGCCCTGATTTGACACTGTCAGAGGCAGCCACTGGCAACATGGCTGCTCTCTACCAAGCATGACTAAAAAGTGACAAGCCTAGGGACAGAGTTCCCCGCCGCACACATTTGCGCATGCCGCCCGTGTGCCACATGCTGCTGTCCAGAACACCACACCTAAACAAGTGATGATGCATTCGCGCAAATGTTTTTGAATGATTTGTGATCCTTCTGTTCACCATTGCCGCCACTTTTTCATCCCGGTATCTTTGATATCGCAGATGGAAGTCAGCCTACCACATGATCACCCTATGGCTTCGTGCCACCATTCTTCAGGCTTATGACACCGCTGGACTGGACCCTCCCAGAGCTAGAAACCAACACGAGATCTTGGCAATCGCCTCTACCCAGGCGCTTCTGCCCTTTTCCATCGTAATATTGGAAAAGTACCTGAATTTTTTTGACAGTTCTTGAAAAGTGCTGGAATGTAAATAAAAGTCTAGCTATAACAAAATCGCTACTGAATATTATTTTCAATCAAGTTTTTATTCATAGTTTTCTTCCTGTCACCTACAACATAAAAAGAAAGACTGTCTTCTGTATATTATAGGTTATGCATGTTAATTCCTTTGCCCATTGTATTACTGAATATGGTTTAATTAATGTTATCATGAGTGGCACTTAAACTCTAGACGGGTTTCAGTTCCTGTGACAGACCTGGCAGACATCTCTGTTTTGGAGATGAGCGCAAGCTGAGTCCTTGAAAACAAATGTTTTTCCCTGAAAATTGCTTGAATTTAGAACCCAAAGATCTGTATGAACTCTGTTCAGATATTTCTTTTGCATTAATTATTGTACAATTTTGTTACACGTTATTCTTTACAACAGAATGAAATCACTGCATGTATGGTTTAGAAATACCATTTATTGAAAATGTGTTTTAAGTACTATACTCATGCTTGCTCTTGGTTGCAGGAAACCGTGACATAGTTGGCTGGGGCTTCAATGGATGTGCAAGTTATGTTGACAGGCCAGAGTTTCCCTGCCCAGCGATTCGATTCAAAGAGAACTCAGCTGATGTTGTAGCTCTTCGTGAAAAAGAAAAAGGAGACTGGAGTAAACTTACCTTGGAGGAAAAAAAAGCCTGTAAGTAACAAGTGTAACTTGGAGCATATTGAAAAGGTTGTCTTCTGGTTGCAGTTTTGCATAAAATGTATTGGCCTTTGATTTAAAAGAATAACAAATAATGTGGAACGCTATTTATATTTTGGTAAGATATATTTACTTTTGATGACTGCCAAAAATGTTTTACAAGATGTAGTCAGGAATAACATGCATAACTCACTTGACCAATTTGAAATCAGATGGTCAGTAATGTCAAAAGTAGGCATCAGAATTACCCAACATTTTCAATACTCTGTGATAAGTCCCTAATCTCTAAGCACAATTTGTTATCAATTTGTAATCATCTTGGTGCACTCTGATAATAACACTGCACATGGTGTATTTCCCGTGACCTCCACTCTTTAGTGACTACCCCAGAACAGGCATCTCTATTCATCTCTCACAGCTGTCCATATTTCTGACCTTTTATATATTATGCAGTGTTCACGTTTAGCGGTAATTACCATTTTTTTACGGGTAAAATTAGGCTTGGACTGGTCATTCATGTGACTACCAGTCCCTTTGAACCTGCAAAGTACCTTATAAATCTTTGTTGTTGAACAAGACATCAGCAATATTCATATAAGTATATTTTTCGAATGAAGCCAGCTTGTCTGTTAGGTTTACTATCAGGCATGATCAGGATTACCCCTTGTCTATTTTTAGTGCAATGACATAACATTTCAGTTGCTTCAAGGTTAAATATATATATGAACTTTGTGTGAATGATGTGTAGATCTAACTAGGTTACTCCAGAGATGACATCATTGCAGTAAACATGATGTTGAAAGAATTAAAACCAGGTAATTTTCATATATTTGTTTAATTGTTGAATGTTGGGACTGACAATAATAGGAGGGGACTGGTAATTTTTAGAGTTTCAAAAGCCAGCGGGAACACTGATTATCTATATTATTCATGCCAGTATTCCACTGATTGCTGTATTTTCTTGTGTCTAATGTGCACTTGGGTATAAAGCAGATACACAATAATGGCTAAAATTTATCTTGTAATGTGTGGTCCAAAACTACATTTGCTTGTGTTGTCAAAAACTAAATCATATTGCTTCTTGTGAATGAACAGGAGATGACAAACTATGTCAATGTCATGTTTGACACTATCTATGAAACTACAAAGCCCATTGAGCTGAAACTTAAACAGACTACAACATTACCTAACTCAAAATAACATCATAAACCTACATCAAAGTGGTTTCACTCATGGCCACTCAACCATGTCAACCTTAGATAACCTTGCCCGTTTAGAGCAGGACATTAAAACAGGACAACTCAGCAAACAATATACTACAGGCATCTTCTTAGACTTCTCCAAAGCTTTCAACATGGTATGGCACGATGGGCTAATACAAAAACTACAAAAAATAGGACTCAAAGGTCAAATAATAAACTACATCCAGGACTTCCTAAACAACCGTAAAATAACCGTGGGTATAGACCAAATGCTATCGGATCAATGATCCCAGGTATGGTGTCTGTGAAAAGTGCTCACAGAATTCCGATCCTATTTTAAGCATGGCAGCTATAGTGGCTACATTTGGAGAAAAAAAATTTAATGGCTATTAATCAGCTTTTCTTTAGATATTTTTATAAATCCGAACTTTATAGGGACAGATCATTTATTATAGGGAAGATGGAGGGTGTCATGAAAAAATGTTCCATGTATGGTGGGTGTCATGAAACAAATAACTTGCATGAATGGGTTAATTGCAGGTAATAGCCAGTCTTAAACCTTGTAAATCTTGAAATTAATGCATCTCTAAATTAATACGACTGCTGACACCTAGCCATAAATGCGACTCAAAATCAATGCGATATCCCAGTTGAATGATACATATCCTTACCTTAATCCAAACAAACACAAATAGCACCACTTATTAGCACTGAGTAAAGCATTTCTGTAATAACACTAAACAGTGTTTTTCTAAAAACAACACACTTTATATGTTTATTCTGCTGACTGCCATTAAGGAAGTTCAAAGGCAATAAGATAATTTAAGTAACAACAGTTCACTGATTGGAGTGGTCAATGACGCCTAGTTTGTCATGGAATCTATGGCTAAAAACAGACTACAACATTACCTAACTCAAAATAACATCATAAACCTAGATCAAAGTGGTTTCACTCCTGGCCGCTCAACCATGTCAACCTTAGATAACCTCGCCCGTTTAGAGCAGGACATTAAAACAGGACAACTCAGCAAACAATATACTACAGGCATCTTCTTAGACTTCTCCAAAGCTTTCAACATGGTATGGCACGACGGGCTAATATAAAAACTACAAAAAATAGGACTCAAAGGTCAAATAATAAACTACATCCAGGACTTCCTAAACAACCGTAAAATAACCGTGGGTATAGACCAAATGCTATCGGACCAATGTCCTCTAGAAAATGGCACTCCCCAGGGCAGTATCCTCAGCCCCACACTCTTCAATATAATGGCCCAAAACCTACTTCAAAATTCTCTAAACAAAATACAGCTATAGGCTGACAAATGGGGCTTCTCCCTTAACTTAGAAAAAAATACAGGAAAAGTATTTAAACAAAAAAACATGAAACCCGCCTCCCAAAAACTGATACCTTTACTATCGGGCAGTTTGGCCAGGACTACAGGACTTGTGCCAATTTCTAACCCTGTTAGATCTAAAATAGACTACGGATGTGCCATATACGACACCCTAAACCAATCCCTAAGCAAAAAACTAGACTCAATCCAATATCAGGCTCTACAACTAATAACACGCACTCAACATGGCACCTCCTACACTTCACTCCAGGCCTTAACAGGAGAAATGCCACTAAACCTACGCAGGGAACAATTAACCCTAAATTTCTGGGCATTGTCTCAATCCAACCCCCTAATCCAAAACCTAATAAACAAAAATATCAGCCCCAAAAACCAAGCCCTAGCTCGAAAACACCCTCTACTTACTCCAATATCCCAAAGAATAAACAATTACTTAAATGAACACCAAATAAACAATCTTAAACAAAACTGTAAAAATAAAATATCTTCACCCCAAAACTTAAAACACCCAAAATAGACATAACACTAGCTAGCACAATAAATAAACAAACCGACCCAAACATAGTAAAAACCACCACACTAGCATACATACATGAAAATTGGCCAAATTGGTGTCACATTTACACAGACAGATCCTCAGATCCGATCTCCAAACACACAGGTCTCGGAGTCCACATCACACAACCAACTAAAGCCACACAATCCTACCGACTCCCAAACAATCAATCAATATTCACGGCCGAACTAATGGGCATGGCCTCAGCCCTTCATAATCAACAATCTAAAAAACACCAAAAAATCCTAATACTTACAGACTCGCTCAGTGGACTACAAGCCGATAAAGCAGCTAAACTATCTCTTAAAATCACAGAAATAAGCTTAAACCTACCCATCTCCAAAACAGAAATTAAAAGTGTCAACAAACAAAAAATCAACCAAAAAAAACACTCAAATAGCCAAATCAGAAAGGTTCTCAAAAAAACCCTAACCAAACCAAAAATTCTACATCCGTCCAAAAGAATCGACAGAGTAATCACTAAACTCCAAACAGGACATACCAACCTAAATAACCACCTCAAAATAATTAAAAAAACATGCAACAGGAACCTGCCCACATTGCAAACAACAAGAAACCCCAGAACACGCACTCATACACTGCATCCACTACCTAAAGCACCGAACTACACTACAAACCACCCTAAATCTAAATAAGGCTCTTACTCTAGAAGCAATCCTAAACCTGGCCGGGCCCGTGTGCGAAATACGCTGCAGTCGGGAAGCACACGTAAAATCTCCAATATAAGTAAGTAAGTTTTTGTTATCCAAAGTGTGCAGTGAGGGTGTCTTATTGTTGATAGTCATTTTGGAGACAAATGCAAAGTTTCATTAATGCGAACAAATACCTCTTGCATTTTTTTCATTTAATTTACGCTCGCGTTAATTTCAAGATTTACACTTCCTGAAATTCGTACTTTGGGTTAAGTCAGATGGAATATATAAGGTTGATTGAGGTACTTGTGTGTTAAGATTTTTCAGATGCTAATGTCAAGACGTTGTTTCAGGCTAACGTTTATTTTATTGAAATGCTATTAGAATGGACAGTTTCTGTGAGGGTGGCATTTTAGTAACTTGTTGCATTAAGTAACTTGCATTTTAGACTAATGTTAGTTTTGGTATAAACTTATATATATATTAGGGGATGTCATTGGCTCTATGTTCTTGTATCATAATTTTGCTATTGCAGTGTACAGGTCAAGTTTCTGCCAAACCTATGCTGAAATGAAAGCCCCAACTGGAGAGTGGAAGTCTGTGCTGTCAGCAATTCTGCTGGCACTGTCTGCAACTGCATGGATAGTCATGTGGATGAAAAAATATGGTTAGCATTATTAACCAGACCCATGTTATTTGGGACATATATTAATGTTTCGTCAGAATTGCATCAGCACCGCAAACATGTTTTGAGTTTTGGAACCATTCAGTGCCCAGACATCTCCTGCATATTATTTGAAGTATGTCTACTTTAAAGACCCCTGTTTTAGACCCAGTTGAGAATAGGTTCCCTGCACTCTACTGCCTGCCATAAGAGTTGACTAAATTGGATCAATTTATCAAGCACTTGCTTGTTCATCATAGACTCAATTATTTACAGATTGCTAGGGTAAAGCTGGTATATAATTGCAAACTGATGCGCTAAACAACATTCACTCATTCAATCTATTATAGGGGGCACGGGTGGCCCAGTCGTCTAAGGCGCCGCGATTCGCTGTGCAGAGTTGCGTCCCTTGGACACGCCAGAAACCTATGATTGTGGGTTTCGAATCCTGATTCGCCCCGATAATGTTTCTAGGTTTGTCAGCACCATACCCGTGCTCGTGGATTTCACCAAAGTGGTAAACGTCTGAGACCTGCATCACTTCGGGCTTTCCTCCCACATTAAGCCGACACGCCGGGATATAACTGGAATACTGTTAAAAGCGGCGTTAAACCCAACTCACTCAATCTCTTATAACCCAGGAATGTAGGGCTGGGATGAGTGCAAATTTACGGCACTGGGTACCACAACCCCAAATTTCCCGACCTTACATTGGTCCCAACTGTAGGTCTCAAGAGTTCGGTGCATAATGTCTGATTGGGAATTGTTTTACCGGAGCCCTGGCTAATGCTATTTTTTTATAAACATTTAAACAATGAGATGCATACACTTAAGTCAACTGAAGTTATATTTTTACTCAAATGCATAAAAGTCAGAAACAATAGTCAAAAAGAAATGTCAACATAAACAACTCTATTGTCTATAAACAACATATAACGTCACTAACCATGGGTCCGTGTAGTCCTGTGAGTACCTCCTGATACTCCTCACGACACCCAAATTACCAATCCCAGCCCTACTGGTATGCTTTTGAGACAAGGTCATGGTCATCCCCTGAAAATATGTTTGTATACCTGATAACTGAAAACATTTACTGTAGGTCACTGAAACTTGCTAATGTCCTTAGGATGGTGCCAGTATCAGAAAGTTTCAGTCATCTGTTTGTCAGAAGTCACTCAAGGTGATTCATAAAGTATAGGAGACATTTACCATTGTACCTTTTTTAAGTTGTCTTCCCTCCTCGGTATCTGTAAACATCTCCTCAGAAATCACTAGATTAGTGTAGCTGAAACTTTGCAGGCATGTTCCTATCAATGATTATTATTATCCCCCGCCGCGCGAAAGCGCGAAGCGGGGGATATAGTATTCACGACCGTCCGTCCGTCCGTCCGTCCGTACGTCCCACCTGTTTGTTGCCGCGATATCTCAAGAACTAAACACTGGATTGTCTTCATATTTGGAACTATGGTGTATATACAGACTCCGCAGACACCAGTCGGTTTTGGTGACCTTGATCCCATTTTCAAGGTCACAGCAGACAAATCTGCTTTTAGAGTTGGAAAACGGTGTTGCCGCGATATCTCAAGAACTAAACACTGGATTGTCTTCATATTTGGAACTATGGTGTATATACAGACTCCGCAGACACCAGTCGGTTTTGGTGACCTTGATCCCATTTTCAAGGTCACAGCAGACAAATCTGCTTTTAGAGTTGGAAAACGGTGTTGCCGCGATATCTCAAGAACTAAACACTGGATTGTCTTCATATTTGGAACTATGGTGTATATACAGACTCCGCAGACACCAGTCGGTTTTGGTGACCTTGATCCCATTTTCAAGGTCACAGCAGACAAATCTGCTTTTAGAGTTGGAAAACGGTGTTGCCGCGATATCTCAAGAACTAAACACTGGATTGTCTTCATATTTGGAACTATGGTGTATATATAGACACCGCAGACACCAGTCGGTTTTGGTGACCTTGACCCCATTTTCAAGGTCACAGCAGGCAAATCTGCTTTTGGAGTTGGAAAACGGTGTTGCCGCAATATCTCAAGAACTAAACACTGGATTGTCTTCATATTTGGAACTATAGTGTATATACAGACTCCGCAGACACCAGTCGGTTTTGGTGACCTTGACCCCATTTTCAAGGTCACAGCAGGCAAATCTGCTTTTAGAGTTGGAAAACGGTGTTGCCGTGATATCTCAAGAACTAAACCTCTCGATTGTCTTCATATTTGGAACTATGGTGTATATACAGACACCGCAGACACCAGTCGGTTTTGGTGACCTTGACCCCATTTTCAAGGTCACAGCAGGCAAATCTGCTTTTGGAGTTAGAAAACGGTGTTGCCGCGATATCTCAAGAACTAATCGCTGGATTGTCTTCATATTTGGAACTATAGTGTATATACAGACACCGCATACACCTGTCAGATTTGGTGACCTTGACCCCATTTTCAAGGTCACAGCAGGCAAATCTGTTTTTGGAGTTGGAAAATGGTGTTGCCACAATATCTCAAGAACTAATCGCTGGATTGTCTTCATATTTGGTACTATGGTGTATATGGCGGGGGATATTTCGTCACTCTGTGACAAATACTTGTTGGTTAAAAAATGTGATTTTCAAACCAATTTTCATTGTTTGGCAGTAAGGGGAACGGGGGTCCAGTTGTTGAAGGCGCTGCAAGTCACTTTATTCCTTTGAAATATTTCTATGTCCTTGGGTCTGAATGGGGGTTTACCCTGATGATGGTTATTTGTTTGTATCATATGGTTGCTTGTTGGCTTCACGTAAGGAGTAAACCTTGTAAGACCTGTGCCATTTCTTGCTTTCTCTCATATTAAGACATTTGTATAACAGACACGATTCAAAGCGTCAACTCCCGCTTACTATGTTGATAGTTCTGTAAAGAATTCAGCGTTGGGAACTGACACTCTTATAGTATAGAAAGATTGCATTTTATCATGTTTGTTGAGAATCATTAGAGAAAAAGATTTTGATGTGAAACTGTCAACAAATTGTCATTTCAGTGTACCCTCCAATGCCATCAACGATAACCAGAGAGTGGCAAGAAGCACAGGTTGAAAGAATGCTTGCCCAGGGCCAAGGACGTATTGAAGGCATCTCGTCAAGCTATGATTATGAGAAGGGAGAGTTTAAATAACTTAGGTTTGATATTCCAGAAATGACTTGATATAAAATGTTCTATATTGTTTGTAATGTGCCATTCAGTAATTTTGCTTTAATTACTTCAGTGATTTCATGTCAAGAATTATTGTACACAGTAAGCAAAACATTCTAAAGAAGACTTGTGGAATGTATTACATAACACATGTAGCAATAAAAGGAGTGGCTTTGGGAACTTTCATTTTTCAATTTGGAGCTCACTTTATGTGAGCTCTTCTCATGACCTTGCCTATCAGCCTCAGTGTTCATGACCAGTAGAACTTAAGCACACATATAGTTTGAAGTGAATTGGAATGAGTGGCAAATGTCGACACCTCTGAAACTGCTCGACTGATCAAGCTGTAATTTTAAACATATTTTAGCAAACTGCAAGCCATAAAAGTGTGATTACTGAGTTGCTTGCCCTACATGATACTGTAACGGACGTTTATCGTTGACATAGGATGAACATGAACACGTGTGTTGTTACGAAACTTCTCAAGGATTGCTCATTCCTTCCTTTGTCTTGAGAGACATACAAAAATACATAGGCAACCAACGCCAGCCTCAGACAATTTCGTGGCTACTGTGTCAGGGACACAGTGGTTTGAATATGTTTGGAATAAGCCTGCGTTAGAGATGGTTGACACTCATCTTTCTTCCAAGGTAATAACATTCAAATATTCTACCTAGTTCTAAGAAACTATTTCTCAATTACCGATTTAGATGTGCCATCTTGTAATGATGTTACCAAGGAAGGATACATTTGATCACAGGGGAGGTACTTTGAACAGCGTCATGACATCAGCCCATTATCACGCGACTCAAAAAGTACTTTATCGAAGGATAAAGAAGGGTCGGTGCCTTTGATCTTTTATCGAAGGATCTTAAAATCTATAATGTGATTCCAGGTATGATCTACTTGATTATGGCTAACCTATGTTTCATGACGATAGGCTGGCTGAGAAGGCTGAATTCATGATCTGTAAAGGCACCCAATACGGGAGTAGAAAGTTCTGCTTGACGGTAACTTTTTGTAATCGTGGTCTTTATGTTCTTGACTGTGAATTTCAAGATATGACAAGGCATTATCTGAGGTTCTTTTGCTGCCAGAACTGGACATGAGTCAAATAAGATGATCCAGTCTTCCTTCAATGACATCCACCAACGATGAGACTTGTTGGTAAAATTCTTAGCTTCCGTGATCATGCTTCTGGTTCTCAGATATCGATGTTCTGGAGGGCATAAGATGTGCACCTAGAATATTGGATGAACCAGGAACTCCAGATGTGTTTGCCGTTTAATACCGCACTCAGCAATATTCCATACGAAGGCTGTCTGTAAATAACCAAGTCTCGACCAGATAATCCAGTGATTGACATCATGAACATCTATATACATAATTGGATACAATGACATACATCAACCAAGTAACAGTCTGACAACCTGATCCTGTTAGATGCCCTTACGACAACCATGGGTTGCTGAAGATAAATTCTTACCCGGATCTTTATGGCTAACTCCAGGTGTGAAGGCTGTTGGATGAGAAACTTTGAACTGACTCATGTCTTGATCTGCTGAAAAGAAGTCCTCTTTGTATATGAAGCCAAACTTGATGTATGCTAACGGGGGGAAAAAAAGATACTGTGCTTCATATAAAGTAATGTACTTGACAATAACAACATAATATTTGCGCAATCATCTGATCAATGTTTTATTATAACAAATTCATAGACAACACACACCTGGCAACAGAAGACATGGCGACACCCCCTAAACATGAGGTGGTGTAACAACTCGCTTAAATTCAATATTGGGTGTGACCACCATTTGTGTTACACAGGCGAGTGCATAGAAGATGATCAGCCTGAAGGATGTTTCAAAGGTTGACCCAACTGAGATACTGGTGTAGGCATCTTTCCATCTTCACAAGCAACTAATACAAACACAATGAGAAACTCCTATAATAAAAGTGCTCTTCATGAGTTATTTCTCTATTGACAGCTAACATAACAAAAGGCAACAACATGATTTCATTATTTCCACTCCATGTTCTTATGTCAATGTAAAGCATCTGGCAAAGCACATTACTACAACAGTTTCTGTGATGTAAGATATTTTCTTTTCTCAGTGGACGAGGTTTGGAGAACATGATGCATCAAGATATTTCCAACTATTGCCATCATAAACACAAAGATAGAAAAAAAAAAAGGCTCTGTAGCTCTCCAGTAAATATAAATAATGGCGGCCATGTTAAAATCATATTGGAACAGCTAAATCTATGGTATTTCATATCCCATTCTAGTATCCGCTCTATGGGCGTTTTCTGAAAGAAGATTCTGAACATTTAAAAAAAATAATCTATTTTTTAAGAACCCCTGTAATTGTTTTTTAATGGCAGGAACAAATATGAGTTCTGTCAAGACAATGGACATCTTCCTGAAGCTTCAGGTTCATCCATTCACTTGGTCTTGGAGATGAGTCAGAATATATCAGCAAGAGGCTCAAGTGATAAGTGTGTGTTCATTCTTCCATGTGTAGAAAAGTTAATTTAATTCTACACGAACGTTATTCAGAAGTCCTTTACAGAACTAAACCCTCATACGGCTGTTCTGTGTCTTTTCTCTCTGCTCGGAGCTGCAGATGCTCCAGAGTGTTGTTAAAATGCTTATTGATTTGTTCTGTCTCTTCATTTGCTTCAAGGTTTGGAAGATATTCCCTTATTTTAGAAATGATCTGATTCAAGACTTGAACAGATATCTGGAAAAAAAGAAGGCTGTGGTAAGTGTTTCAAAAATAAAATAAGTGGGGAGCAAGGTGTACTACTCTGGGGAATATGGCAAAATCACATTGTCTGTGGTTATTTGCTCAGATAACACTTATCTGCTTTTACTATCTTCAAGCTATACCATTGTTAATCTCATATGAACCTCAGATTGTCATTGCATGGCTATGTATTGGCACAAAAATCATATTGATATCCCTATTGCGATATATTGGGCGCTAAATCATTTGACAGTGATTGTACATGCAGATCCTATTTTCTACATGCTTAACCTTTAGCCTGTTGAACTATTTTCACACTTCTTACCCCTGCCTGCTGGATTAATTTTAGCTCTGAAGAGGGTGGGTGATTTCAAACAGTCGGTGCCTCATTAAACAAGGGCCAATTGAAGAAATATTTTGCACATTTATTCCTGATAGAAAACTACACAGTACTATATAAAAATATCCGGATGTTTTCAATCATACAAAGGTTAAGACCAAAGCGAACACAAAATTTGTAAATTTTCTTGAACTTAACTGAATTGCGGTATTGAAGGTGGTTTGCATTTCAATATCATTTTTAATATCGTAACATTTGTGCAAAAACATTGCAATGTCAAAGTTGTCATGGTGAGTTGCTGCCATTTTGTAGACATTGATAAAGGGGATATGGCAATGTACAGAAAATCACTTGTGAATTAATTTCTAAAGAAGATTTAAGGTTAAATGATGCATATAATCACAAAATTTGTTATAATCATTTTAAATGGAGCATATAATTATGAAACAGTAAAACTTATATGCAAAGTAGGTTGACAACCTCTTACTTTACTAGTAAGGTGGGGGAGCGAGGATAATGACAACAGTGTGTTACTAGTTATGATAAGGGAGTTTGGTTTTGGTTGGTTTGTTGTTTAACGCCCCACTCAGTAATATTCCAGCTATATGATGGCGGTCTGTAAATAATCGAGTCTGGACCAGACAATCCAGTGATTCATATCATGAGCATCGATCCACGCAATTGGGATCGATGACATGCATCAACCAAGTCAGCGAGCCTGACCACCCGATCCCGTCAGTCGCCTTTTACGACAAGCATAGTCACCTTTGACGACAAGCATGAGTTGCTGAAGATCTGTGACAACAGGGTGATACTAGTTATGATTAGGGAGCTAGGAGTGTGACAACAGTGTGATACTAGTTATGATTAGGGAGCTAGGAGTGTGACAACAGGGTGATACTAGTTATGATTAGGGAGCTAGGAGTGTGACAACAGGGTGATACTAGTTAGGTGGGGGAGTTAGGAGTATGACGACAGTGTGATACTAGTTATGATTAGGGAGCTAGGAGTGTGACAACAGGGTGATACTAGTTATGATTAGGGAGCTAAGAGTATAACAACAGTGTGATACTAGTTATTAGGGAGCCAGGAGTGTGACAACAGTGTGATACTAGTTAGGTGGGGGAGCTAGGAGTATGACAACAGTGTGATACTAGTTATGATTATGGAGCTAAGAGTATGACAACAGTGTGATACTAGTTATTAGGGAGCCAGGAGTGTGACAACAGTGTGATACTAGTTAGGTGGGGGAGCTAGGAGTATGACAACAGTGTGATACTAGTTATGATTAGGGAGCTAAGAGTATGACAACAGTGTGATACTAGATTAGACGGGTTTGCAGAAGGGGAGGGGGGAAGGTATATGACAAGAGGGTGTTTGAAGGGATGGTGATGCCTATGAAGATGAAATACTTACTTGATCACAGCCTTTCTCAAAGAAGTAGATGTAGTGATTGAGTAGCTCAACAAACAACTGAACTTGTACAGAGCTGTCCATGCACTGATTTGCAATCTTTACCCCCTTCTTCAGGCAGTCAGACACTCTTTTCCCATCCTGCATCTGCAAATATACCATGGAAATTGTACCAATTTGTCTATCAAAGAGTACTGCAATACACTCCGCCTTACATTGTTATCACAATATTTAGTTTGTGATTTGGAGTGCTTCCAGTAGAGCTGATACATACACTTGGAACAAATCTTGACATACACCTCATATGGATAAATGCTACCACAGACACCTGATGAGTATGTTCCTCCAGATGATGGTGGGGACCAAGTCACATGATGTGAAGAAGCACAGGAAGAAATTGAAAAGGTAGTCACTAGTCAAACAAGAAATATGTTGGCATAACATGCACAAACAGAAGCAGACCAATATCCATAATGTCCTGAATAAATCATAACATTCCTCCCAGAATCATGTACCATGAATCATTTTGACAGGTCACAGCTGACATCAATATTCATCTTTGATCCCAAATGTTATCTATTGTAGGACAACTCAGTCCAATGCCTGTAGCTACTCAAGTAAGCACTTTGGGTTTAGAGACATCACTGTTACTTTTGGATAACACATGTCCAATGCAGTACAACTATGAAACAGGTTATATGCCTCTAGGTACCCAATGTCACAAATATCAGATCTTTGTGCTCACTACCGCTAAACAAAGAACTGAGGTCTACCCATTACAGGTCATGACCAACCAATGAAATGACTAACAGGAAGTTGATATTTGCCATGCAGCATTCTTGAGTTTTACAGCACTAGTTTCAAAATGGCAACTTCATTTCCAGACCATGCTTTGAAAAATATTTTGACAAAGTAATCAATTAAAAACTGAAAAACTGAAAAACTGAACAAAAGAAAATTCTGGAATGTCTTTTGTTTGTTTGTTTGCTGTTTAACGTCGCACTCAGCAATACTCTGTAAATAAACAAGTCAATCGGACCAGACAATCCAGTGATAGATATCATGAGCATCTTGGGATACGATGACATGCATCAACCAAGTCAGCGAGCCTGACCACCTGATCCTGTTAGTCGCCTCTTACGACAGGCATAGTCGCCTTTCACAGCAAGAAAGGGTTGCTGAAGACCTATTCTACCCTGGATCTTCTTGTGGATGACTGAGATTGTATGGCAGTTCTTTCTACTGGGGAAGTCTCTGAGAGAGGTGAGGTAAAATTGGGTTTAACGATGCGTTCAAGATTATTGTACTTATATAGCAACGAGCATGCACATGTGTGTCTGCCTGTACTAGTCCGGACTAATGCTGATTATATAGTGCTAGCCCACTGAGATACCAAGCTGCAGTTTAACATGGAATACCCCACTTAAACACAGAATATGGACTCCGAGCCAGCCAGTCCTTATTTTACCCCCTTAATGTTGAGCACCAGACAGGGTAACAACAAGTACAATCTTTTAAAGCCTTTTGGTATGACATGGCCTGTACCTTCCACTCTCCAGGAGGATGCTCTACCACTAGATCACAGAGGTGGTCTGATTTTAATGAGATTGCCAGCTATCATAATAACAATATGAACACACTGTCTTATGACTTTGACCATCAAACTTAGCCATGACCTGCCATAAAAATTTGTTTAAAGCATTTGTGGTGTTACAGCCCAAACTTACTGTAAATTCAGTCGGAATTATATTTTTGACAAGTCTTTCAATAAAAACCTTCTTTTGGCATGACCCTGACACAAGGCAAGCACAGAAGAAATTGCTTATGCATTACTAATTAATGAAAAATTATTATGCGTATTATAAGTTAAAATCAAATTTACCATGCTATGACACGGTTTCTGGTGACCTTGACCTTGTTTGGAAGCCATTAAAAATCTTTTCAAAAGAAGACCCCACCTTTGCGGTCATGTATATAACATTTTGTCAAATTAAGTAAATTTTAAATATTTTTACATTTGTATACTTATCCTGCATTATTCCTAAATGCATTGACTGCTGGTTTTTTTACAGAAAGTTAAAGCTGTGAGAGATCTAGATGCAGAAGAAGTTGCTCCCACCATTTGTGAAGAAGTACCCTCACACAGCTGCCATGTGACCTGGAAGTGGTGAAGTCACATAAGAGCACATTACTGCTTAGAACGTAACATTTGAAGACTTCGTGGGGAGGTAACGGGAGGGCACTTAGACGACGTAATGCAAGATCAGTAAAAAAATGTAAAAAATATTCAGATTTTACTAAATCTTTTAACTTATCCTGCATTACTCGTTAATGGATATTTATCCGACGGTACAGCAGGTGGGTATACCTTCAGATGTGATCTATACTCAACAACAAAAGTTCCTGTGACACAAATATTTTAGTGTATTTTTCAAACAAGTAAAGTTTGGTTTTCAATATTGTAGTACATGTATGGAATCAAGTCACAAAAACGCAACTGCTACAGAAAACATGCATTCCATGCAAAAGTTGACTTTTATGCAAGCCCCATGCATTTCACTACCCAAGAATGGGTATAAAAACATGTGCGTTAACGGGATTCCATATGTATTGTTAAGCATCATGCTGACAACAACCACTCAGAAAAACAAAATTACGCAATTATTCAACATTACGAAATGCCACGCCTGTCTGAAAATGAGCGTCTGTGAGCCATTGGTATGCTTGAAGCAGGATCGAGTCAACAGGATGTTGCAAGACAATTTAACGTCCACAGAAACACCATTTGGTGTTTATGGCAACGTTGGCAACAGACAAATGCAGTCAGAGGCCATCCTCAGAGTGGCAGGCCACGCGTAACCAAATAATCGACAAGACAACTGGATTCGAACAACACACCTACAAAATCGATTCCAGCCAGCAACAATGACTGCAAGAAGCACCCCTGGCCTTCAACGATATCTTCACAAACCGTACGTCGTCGCCTCAGATGTGCAGGACTTGTCGCCAGAAGACCCGCCAGACGTCCCATTTTGACAGGAAACCACCGTCAAGCACGTCTACAGTGGTGCAGACAGCGTCTACGATGGACGGCCATGCAGTGGGGACCAGTTCTATTCACTGACGAGTCTCGTTTTCACCTCAGCCACAGCGATAGACGGATTCGATTGTACTGACGTCGAGGTAAACGTTACGTCAATCATTGTGTCATGGAAGAAGATTGGTTTGGGGGCGTCAGCGTAATGGTATGGGGTGGTATTACAGCAAGACAGAGGACCCGTTTGATAGTGATAGAGGGAAATCTCAATGGACAGCACTACCGCGACGAGATCATCAGCCCTGTTGTTCTACCGTTTTTGTGTCGTCATGGCCCAGGCATTACCTTTCAACATGACAACGCCCGGCCTCATATTACTCGACTTGTTCAGGATTCTCTTCAACAAAACAATGTGAATGTCATCCCCTGATCTCTCACCAATCGAGCACATGTGGGATGAGATGGATCGGTGCCTTCAACGTCAACCACGTGTTCCACAGACACTCCATGAACTTCGAAACATGCTCCAGCAGATATGGACAGATATCCCACAGGACTTTTTGTGACGCCTTGTCCATTCCATGAGACGAAGACGTGTTGCTTGCATCGCAACCCGAGTGGACACACACGCTATTGATTTGTAAATTGACATTTTGGCATGTTCATGTTTTTAATGAAATCACACATTTTCTTAAGTCAGTATGGCAAATGAAACCATTTGAACACTTACAGGAGTTTTTTATCGAAATTGTTTCAGATTTGGTAAAATACATAACTTTGCATTAAATCTTATTCAATGTCACAGGAACTTTTGTTGTTCAGTATACAATGAATTCTCCATAGGCACCAGCCACATGGAAAAGACCGATGTCCGGTATCGAGTCACCATTTCTGTCAGCAGGCAGTGAAAGAGTGAAGTATGGGGGAGGTCCAGGTATCATTCCAGTGACAGAACTTAAGCGAAATTAAAAACTAGAACTGACATACCAAACCAATGTGTGCAGCATGTAATCTTCAAGTCTAGGGTGACACGCACCGGCGAGTTTGAAAGGTTGGCTCCTGACATGAGGAAGACTCAGAGGCGCTTTGTGGTGGCGACCTGCTGGCAAGTGGCGATGATAGCAATGTCGGGATGACCTAGGCGCTGGCACACAAGATGAAAAACCAGGGGAGCAAGCTTCCATTCAGAGAGAGCTAAGAGTGTGTCATCCCCTGATGGCGCAGGTATCAGACCACTGTGAGGTGGAGATGGCGAGTTGAGTGTAACGGAGGTGCTCCTGCCAGTGTGATATCACCTGAGTGCCTTCAACTCCAAGTTGTCGATGTGCCAAGTGCACTGAGCGCCAGACCACAGTCCTGAGAATGTAAATGTGATAGAATGTAAATATCTGTAAAATTTTAGTTTGAAAGATCGCACCTTATGAAGTTGGGTGATCGTTTCCATCCCCTGAGTGTTGTATAAGCGCTCCCATTCTTATATCGAGGAGACAATGAAGTCTATTGAAGTTAGTGACTTGGTCACATGGATGCACAGCGACAGACGTCTGGTCAAGTGGTTGCAGCAGTACATTCAAGTAAGCATGCAAACCAAGTGGTGCAAAGACACTGCACAGCTCCCAATAGGTCATTTGACCTAATTCTGGTCAGCGATGTTTACAGTCAGAGTGTATCTTGACACATGACATGTATCTTGAAAATGAGGTTGAAGCTCCACACATGGACAATCCCCTGTGAACTGTGTGGTAGACAGACAGGTGGTGTTCCCAAGTTCTGTGAAGAATGTGTGGGATAGGAGCAAAATTATCACAACGATATTTGAGACGCCTTGTCTCGACCTGTCAATGATGATTCTGAGAGGTGGGTACCCGGTAGCCTATGATGAATCTATCAAATGGCTAAACAATCTTGAACATTGATGATCTACAAGTTCTGGTACAGATGTTCAACGAAAGTAGTCGTTTGCCCAACGTTGATCTTTCACCGGAAATTTTCTCTGCTCCATCACCACGAAAGCGAAAGCCAAGCAAATAATGGCCATGTGGATCATGGTAGGTTACAAGGAATCTGTCATGCCATGAAGGTCGTTGACAAGGAAATGAGCTCCATCAGC